TCTCTCTCTCTCTCTCTCTCTCTCTCTCTCTCTCTCTCTCTCTCTCTCTCTCAAAGGTCGTTTTCTAAAAAGTCATGACACTTTTCAAAGCATATCACATATCATTCACTGTTAACTGGGTTTCCGCTTGCGAACAAACGAGTGCTTCTTGCACTTTGGACAGCTATATTGCTTTGTCTTTTCTCAGACGAATGTTCTCCTGAGGAGTTTATCTGGCAACTGATCCAAACTATTATTTTGCCTCTCCTCTAGCTTTTTGTATTGCCAGTCTTTGAGTTACTTCCGCGAAGACATCCTCACGGATTACATACAAAAAGTGTCAAAGAACGAAAATGTGGAGAGCTTTTGTGACAGAGACATGTAATTAAGGTTCAATTTTGCATTGTGTGTGGATTTCAATAAGGGACGTGTTTTCTTTCGATCGTAGTTGAAGGAAATTTTGTAATAGCCCTTCCGATTGGTGGGTTACAATCATGGACATCACCCCCATTTATATTTAGTAGATTTTGCACATGGATGATGCCCACGACTGAGATTTGAGGAGAATATAGCCCTTTAAATACAACATAAACAAAAGAAATTGAGGTTTATCTATGCAAATGTTACGGGTATACTTCTTCTTTGTCTTATGCATCACATAAAATTAGGAAAAATTACCAAAACAGTCCTAAATCTATTGCAATTGTGCCAATTCAGTCCTAAACTTTTTTTTTGTCAATTCAGTCCTAAATCTTTTGTATTTGTGCCAATTCAGTCCATCCAGCCAATTTTGGCCGGCAGGCACTGGCCCTTCGACCGACACTGACGTGGCAATTTTTAAATATATTTTTTTCGATTTCTTTTTCTTTTTTTTTCCTTTTCTTCTTCCCCTGGCCGGTCCAGCGACCGACGACCAACGACCTGCTGGGCTAGGGCCGGCGACACTAGTCGTCGACCACTGGTGAGGCTCGCCCTCGCCGGCACTGGCGAGGATGAGCCTTGACCTCGCCGTTACGGGCGAGGTCGGCCAAGCAACGGCCATGGTGAGGCCGCACGACCTCACCCAAATCTGTCGCGAGGCCGCTCGGCCTCCCCCAGATCTAGGCGAGGTCGAGCAGCCTCACCATGGTCGACGTCGCCCGCAACAGTGAGGTCGAGCAGCGGCCTCGCCATAGCCGCTGCTCGACCTCGCCACAAATCTGGGCGAGGTCGAGGCTCACCCTCGCCAAAGCCTGCGAGGGGAGCCTCACCAGTGGCCAACGACTAGTGTGACTGGCCCTAGCCCCTGGCCGGTCGTCGAATCAGCTAGGGGAAGAAGAAAAGCAAAAAAATTAAAAAATTAAAAATCGAAAAAAAAAATTAAAAAATTGCCATGTCAGCGTCCGCCGGAGGGCCGATGCCGGCCAATGTCCACGTCAACACCGGACGGCCAAAATTGACCGGATGGACTAAATTGGCACAAATTCAAAAGGTTTATGACTAAATTGGCAAAAAAAAAAAGGTTTGGAACTGAATTGGCACAATTGCAATAGATTTATAACTATTTTGGTAATTTTCCTCGTAAAATTAGGAAGTTGCCATTTCAATCCGCATTTGTATCAACTCTACGTTACTCTTAGTTTCTCCTTGCCTTCTCCTTTGGTTTAGTTATGGTACACCAGTACTTTTAACTTGTTTACAATTTAAAGAGACTAGAGACATCTATATTCACCCGCAAAAAGAAAAAGAAACCTCTTAGACTAATATTTGTTGATGATATGGTTAATTTTTTATGCGCACGATGGTAATATTTGTGATGGCGGGATCTTCAGCTTTTCCAAAACAACACGACGACATGAAAGCTTGCACACTGTTCGCAATACATCCCATTTCATTAGAATCTTACCCTTCGTTTAAAATGAATAGCCGGTTTCGAAACATGGACGACTCACATAAACAGTAAGGAAAGAATTGTAGGAGAAGTTAGGAATTATACACTTTTGAGTGACTACATTCATCATATGCACAATCGAGAGTGAATTTGTTCCATGTATGTAAACGTGTGGCACGTAAGTAATGTGAATGTTGACAAAAACAAGAAATGCAAAACTTAGGGTTTCCCAATGAAATGAGCAATGGCTCTTATGTCACAATAATTGTTATCATAATATGATCTCTCCCTCCACAGCACATCATGTTGCGCTCATGGAATGCATATGACGTGCATACATGGGGACTGGTGGCCAGGAGGGAAATGCAAGATTTTAGCCTCATCTGTGTTGCGAGTGGTGACCCCAAAAGACAAAAAACTCGTCTAGAAATAGCAAACCCTAGAGATAGCCAAAAATTCGTGAGAATCAAGGGCATAAGACGTGCTCTCTCTCTCTCTCTCTCTCTCTCTCTCTCTCTCTCTCTCTCTCTCTCTCTCTCTCTCTCTCTCTCTCTCTCTCTCTCTCTCTCTCTACCCCTTTTTGATCGTGACAAAAAAGATTGCAACATCCTTTATTTTTTCAGGTCACGGGGGCGGTTTAACTAACAACAAATTTCACAATTTTGTGACCATTTTAATGATTTTTTTTCTTTGTGGAATTTTTATGGAGCATATGAAAGAATGACACTGAGCTCTCTTGTCCCGTCGCTTCACATGTACAGGAACCAGCAAAATCCATCGGTGCAAACAACCAAAAAACGAGGCCAGATGATGTATGGGACACTTTAGGGATGCGAGGGAGGGGCTCGTGTGTTTATGTCTCTTCATTAACTTTTAACGGATGGTATTTGAAAAGGGGCAGAGAGATTACTTGGATTCGATTTGATGTCTCGTTTCAAAGGCCCGCAATTCTGGGAGATGCCTTTGGTTTGCTTTGTCGGAATCCCATAAGAGAAAGTTCCCGCGGTCGTTTAAGAATAAAAAAATTTGCTGGAAGTTTTATCTTTTCAGGCTGTATTGAAGAGAGATGAGGTTTGATCTAAATCTCCAAGGTGACTCGTGAAGTTTTGCCTTAGGTTTTTTTTTTTGGTCGATAAGTTTTGCCTTATTTTCTGTACCTTAAGTCGAAAGCCAAAACATGTCGTATGCCCATTTAAATATTTAATAGTGTAAATTTTGTATGGAAAATATGATTCGATACATGTATTCATCGTCATTACGTGTAGATGCCGTAATCGGAGAACAAATAGAGACGAAGATAATACAAAAACATTATTATGATTAGCGTTTTCATGAAAAGGACCTGACTTTTGATTTGACAATGATAGGTTGTAGTTTTGCTTATGAGAGAATTGTCCAAAAAGTCCTAAACATATTGCACATTTGCCAATTTAGTCACAAACTTTTTAATTGTGCCAATTGAATCCTAAACCTTTTCAAGTTTTGCTAATTGAGTCCAACCAGCCAATTTTGACAGGAAATCGGTGACGTGGACGCCAGTTGTCCTACGTGACAAGGCCGGCGCTAACATAGACAGATATTTTTTTCAATTTTTTTTATCTTTCCTTTTATTCTCTTTGTCTTTTCTTTCTTTCTTTTTTTCTCCTTCTTCCTCTAGCTGATCGCCAGGCCTCAACAATGGCCAACGACTGGCCAAAGGCGAGGGCCAGCAAGGTCGAGCCTCGCCTGCTCGCTTATGCCAGTGGCTGGTGGGGAGGAGCTTCGCCAGAGGCCGATGGGGTGTCCTCTGGCCAGTCACTGAGGCTGGCGACCGGCTAGAGGAAGAAGGAAAGAAAAAAAAGAAAGAGAGAGAAAAGAAAGAAAAGAATAAATAAATCAATAAAAAAATATAAAAAATTATCCAAGTCAGCACCGGCTATGCCGCCTAGGAAGATTGGCATCCACATCAGCGATTTACGGCCAAAATTGGCATAATAGACTCAATTGGCAAAACGTGAAAAGATTTAGGACTCAATTGGCATAATTAAAAGGTTTAAGACTGAATTGACAAAAGTGCAATAGGTTTATGACTTTTTGGATAATTTTTCATTTTCCTTATACATGGGCGCAAATACTTCCAATTTATGAAAGTTTAGTTCTCTAAAAGATAGAGAGAGTAACAAATTCTTTGAGAAAGATCGGTTTACACCTTTTTCCTCGTCGCCTTCAAACTTATTCATGATTGCTCACGCGATTGTCGCATCGCCGTGGCTATGGCATGCAAATGACATCGCTCGCCACAGTGAAAGAACTGGATCTTCTCAATTCAAAGAGAGATTAGACCAAGTTTAGAGATCACGGTAGGGGATTCAACAGTCGGAGCTATTTGCGACGACCTGCTTCTCGTTCATTCATTTGTCTCGTAGCAACAGGTCATGGTACTTGGAGGAGGAGATTGAAATAGCTTAAAGTGGTTGAATTGACTCTTGTGAATTGAGCGATTCATGTTCATGTCTTATAATGATACAATCTGTTGCACAGGTCTGCCGATCAAGATTCACGTTCGGTAGCCCACCATTAGTTGTCATTCGAACCCGAGACGAACTCCATGACCGATTTTGCGTGATTAGTCCAAAAACAAAAGCAATCACAAGGCAATCTGTATAATTGTGCATAGTCTGTCCACCGAAGAAAGATAGATGATAAATCGACTCGAGCAAGCTCGTGTATGATTGCATTTTCTATTGTCTTATAGGTTGGAAATGCCCAACAATTCGATTGAAGGAAACCTTCTTTCGTACTCAACATACCATCAGTATATTGTGAAACCATATAAAACCAGATTAGAAAGAACTTCTTCTTTCTTTGGGTCGGCCATGCGGTGGCCCGTATCAAGTTCATTGGACCCCCACCCAAAGAGCAAAACCAAACTCAAGAAGAAGAGAAAAGGAAAGCCTCTTCGGTTATCTGCATATTTCTCTCCTTTGACGTCTGTCTTAGAAAATTACCACCACCTTTAACCGGTTACTTTATCGACGAAATTTCAAGGTGCACGAGTTCATGTGAGTCCGATGCACCACACAGCCCCTGATTTGGCGTGTCTCGCATGAGACCAACTGTGATTGAATGGCTATGGTCCACTGGGCTCACACGAATCCGGCGCATCCATTAGTAACTCGTAAAATTACCTCTTCATGTAAACACCAAATCTCGTTGCGCAACAGGAGATCTAACCTTCGAAGTTTACAGTTCAACATTATTCTATTTCTACTGATGAACCACCACATGCCCAAAACCAAAAGCAAGAAATCTAGATAAATGGACTTCCCCATAAAAAAGACGGGTCATCAAGCCTCACCTTCTTGCGGCAGAAGGCTGCATCTGTTTTTAGCGATCCACGAGAAGGCCACAATGAAATCTCCGAATCGATAGATAGAGGATCACAGAGGCTTTTCCAAGGGATCGTTACAGATTCCATTGAGAGATGCTCCAAGGTTAATGACCGATGGTTCAAAATTAGACTACCCCGGTTCTAGGAGGAATCATCACATCTCAGATCTTGAAACCTTTTTAACAAGCCAGATCTATACTTCTCTGCTTCCGCATCCTCAAATGAATCTGGGATGGACCTCATGATGGAGATCAAACCGGCTTGGTGCAGTACTCCCGCAGCTTCGACTGCCACACCATAGCATATTTTTAATTTGAGCAATGTAAAATTGTGGAAGCACAATTTCATTCGTCGAGCTACAAACAGTAATAATACAGCCATTCACAAAGTCTTCTCCAGTCAGATATGTCAATCGGTTAGCACTGTCATAAAAAGGAAATGTCAACGAAGAAAATATCACATGATTCACAAAATCTTTACTATCTTTTAGGAAGAAATATCAAACTGAAAATTATATCGAATGTTCAGCAAAAGACAATGGATGAGCGGGAAAAAAAATAGCAGAGTGCAGAGAAACCTACTGGAAAAGCACTAAGAACTCCCTTGAGAGACAAAGGAAACATAAAACCTGAATCATTCCCATTGATGCTAACTCATAGTAGAAAAGGGAGGATCAAAGAACTACTAAAGACATGATAAAACTTTGTCAAAGATTTACCAGAGCCTGAGATTAGAATTTAAAATGTTAAGAACTCTCAACTATATCTTCCAATTCCAACCCAGAAATATCTTGCAAGAGATATCTTTCCCAGCAAAGCAACTCTATCAGAAGTTGGATCATCAACTTTGTAATAAGCAAGATTTGCAAATAACTTTCGCACTGAGAAAATCCCAGAATGAGTATCTATCAGCAGCATAACACACTACGCACCTATATTAAAGCTAGGAATTTGCAAGTATAAAGATTAGAACACAGATGTAGGGAACAAATAGATAAATAAGCAAAAAGTACCACCTGAATTTGAAAGAGCACCAAGAGCTTTCAAAGCTTCCTTCCTTGTGCGGTCATCTTTAGCAGTGCTTAGCATGTTCACAAGTTCTTGAGCACCACCCATCTCCACTATTTTCATCCTTCTTTCATCTAAGTGTTAACAATGAAGTTGAAAATGATTTCTATGAGTCATGAAAATGATTTCTATGAATCAAAGCATCAACTGCAGCTACGATACAGCCAAACAAAGCATCGTTCATGCCAACGACACTAACATAACGGTACATGAAAATAATGCTGCCACGTGTATTAGAATAGTGAACATACGTAGCAGATGGCAGAAGAATAAAATACATTAAAACACTCAAAAGCTACATTACTTTACCAAGGGCTTAGATAGTTATGAAAGGTGAAAAATTTTCTGATGCATAATCAGTGAGGCTCCTGAACATTATTTGTTTGTCACACTGACGGAGATAATGACATTACCATCAATTGCAAAACGAGATAACCTAGAAGCTCCCATTCTCTTAAACAAGGGATCCTTGACTTGAAGAAGGGAAACAGACTGCTGTATCAAATTATCTCCTGGGAAAACAGATAAGAATCTGTCCATCAGAAAAGGCAAGCTGAGGCAGAAACCATCAAGTAGAGAAGTGATCTCTTCCAAGATCATGAGCAACATTTCCACATACCCATGTATGGGAAAAATTGATAGCCAACGTACGTGGCCGTTCCCGCGAAGAACAACTTCAACAACCATCCTATCTTCCTCTCAGCCTCCTGCTCTAGCGCTAGCTCATCTAGAGGTGAATCAAGATTAAAAGAAATCAGTCTCAGCAACGCGAATGCATCAGATTTCCCAGAGGAATCGTTGCAGGTATAACATGAAGCAAGAGGGATACATGGCCATCAATCTACCCCGAAACATACATTTGGCAATTAGTTTGCAATCTAATGGTTCAATCACAACCATATAGACACCCCAAGAATCTGAAACAGATTTTCTAGTTCAATCTCAATGCACAAGGATCCTGAACGTCTCATAGAAAAAGGGGGCTAAATCAATAGTTCAATAGAACAAATTAATTAAACCACGCAAATGCACAAATCACCGGCGGAACGTTTTCGGACAAAATGAGCAAAATCACGACATCAATCGTGCTAGAAGCAGTCAACCCATCAAGGGGCCAAACGAACACGCTCCAGCAAAAGATTAAAAACGAGACGCAATCCGAAAGGCAAAAGTGGGTGTGAATCGGAGAAATCAGCAACCTTTCCCACCGTATGACGAGGAACATCTACTCTGCAGATGCCCAGGTTTCCTTCTGCACAAATACTGCACCAAAGATCCATAAAAATCGACTCCATCGACGCAAGAATCAACAGAAACATGCTCCAGTCCGGTCTCGCTAAAATTGTAAAGAGAAGATGGAGAAATCAGTCAAATTTACAGTGGCCACTTGCGCCGCTAAAGCCCGCATGACGAATTCCCAGTTGAAGAAGACTGAAGAGAAGACCCCTCTCGCTCCGCTTCAGTTCTTGTTCCTCTCGCGCTGGGTCGGTCGCCAGCTCTCTAATTGAAGTCGCCCCAGTTGGAAAAAACAGTAGTAGAAATTTACGAATTTTTATTTAATAACATTACAAGGTAAGGCTTTATTATGGGAACCAAAAAAAGATTGGCCTAATTAAATATTATCGTATCTATATATTTGAGAGATGACCATGTATGTGTTTCGAAAATTTAAAGAGGTTTTGGTTCGGTTCCAAATAAAAATGACAAATTTTTTGTTGCTTAATCCCGTTGCTTATGCTTACTTACAATGCTCGGGAAGTGTTTGATGATATGTCCGAGCGGAACGTTGTCTTCTTGGGCAATGCCAATGATCAACGCGGGATCAATGGGGAGCATGGTCTATTTGCTTTGAGGGGTACTTCTGCGAAATGCGAAACTGAGATTATCGCGAGAGATCTGATCGACTGCCGATCTCTTTAGTCATGTAGGCCAATTCATTGGATGATGCAACGGACTTTGCAGAGAAGCTGCCGATTGAACTCGAGGAAATGATCTGGTAGAGCGTGTTGGGAGCCGGTGGAGTTAGAGGTAATCGGTTCCAGGGTGGGTAGGGTCCAGACCTGGAACCTGGAACCTACCCTGTTATAACCGGTTCTCATTTTTTGGAACCTGGAACCTACCCTGTTATAACCGGTTCTCATTTTTTGGAACCTGGAACCTACCCTGTTTTCCCTAGATCCTGTTTTGGAACCTACCCTGTTTTTCCGGTCCAGTTTCAGGGTCTACCCAGTAACTTGTTTTTTCTTTTCTTTTCCTGGTTACAGAAATTCGAAGCAAAATAAACAATCCACAAAGAGGTACTTTCCCAAAGTAGATCACATTTGTTCTCCAGCATCAAATTGACAGTGTTAAAGATCAGGTAAAAGCATAAGACGCTCTAAGGTTCACAAGCGCACAAAATTCGGCAGTAAGCCACTTCAGTGATGCAATATAAGCATCAGTGCCAATAATTATTCCACCCTCTCAACAAAAATAACTATTCAGAAAAATTATATACACCAATCAACCACCATGGGCATGGTATAACCAAGCTCAAAATTTCGAAAAACTATCAAAAGATATAATAATGATGTCATCAGAACAGCAAAGTCCTCACCATGAGCAATTGCACTAGTGGACTGCGTGGGCTCCTCACTTTCATCAGCATCGTGACAAAGTTAAAAAAGAGAAGATCCGCTCGCTGAGATTGACATGTGCTAAGAACTCTACAGCTATATGGACATCCACATTAACCATAACATAATCTGCTTCATATTACAATTCCATCCAAGCTTAAAGTCTGAATTTATTAATGATGACCAGTATCAAGTTTGAATGACTTCATTATTACCCTTGTTTAATCATAGCAGCAAATGAAAAACAGTAAATGGGCACAAGAAAAATGCTTAACTCTATTTTATTTCCAAAATCGTGCGGATGTCCAAAACCAAGTGGCACAGAGCGACCTAATTACATCTCATTTAGCTGACCACTAAGACGATTGCATGAGAAGAATCAGTTATTCCAAAGATCTTCAAAAATTAAGTCAACCATTTGAAACTTGACCTGGTAATTTGCTCACAACACAACTTGTACTGTTTGCAGAAGTTATGTTTGATATCGCGCTAAACAGGCAATCAAGCTAAGCAAATACCCATAATCAAAACTCCAGCTTCAATAATCTTTTCTTATCTATCTTAACTTTTCTCACATCATAGCAAGAGTAAAACAAAATAGATAATCAGGATGAAGGAACAATGGCTCAAACAATAAGCAGGAAATCTGAAAAGTTGACTTCAACTTTCAGACTGCATCCTCCAACAGCTACTCCCCTAAAGCATACATGTCTACTGTGAGGAAAATGTAAAACGCAGGTGTTACCTATCTACAAAGGCCGACTTTATGCCACGGGCAAATGCTAAAAGATGTCATCTTTCAGTTTGAAGGTAAAAGATTTCAAGTCTTCATCGTAAGGAAAGGAGAATGCGGGTCCCTGAGGTTTGAACTTGACCACATCACAGATCCTTCCTACTTTTCATTAACATGAAAAAGGGACTTGCTTTGCGCAAAAAATTAGAACTTTTCTTGAACTTAGCTCTCGCCGGGTGTATTGAGCTACAACATTGCGAAATTGCAAGCATAAGACTATAAACCCGTTTGCAAGCATAAGACTATAAACTGCGGCGACGAGCGGCGAGCCCCCCGCGGGCAACAAGCGGCGAGCACCCGGCGGCGACGAGCGGCGAGCACCCCGTGGCGACGAGCGGCGAGCAGCCGCAGCGACGAGCCAAGCCGCGGCGACGAGCGGCGAGCAGCTCCGGCGACGAGCTCTTGCGGGTGGGTTTTTACTGAGAAGGGCAAGAAGAGAGTCAAGACTCGAGACTGAGAAGTGAGGCTGAGAATTGGGAGTCTGATTTAGGGTTTTTACTGTAACTTCAAACCGGTTCTAAAAACCGGTCTGGGTGGGTTTTCACCTAGACCCGGAAACCGGACCGGTTCCAACTGGACCGGTTCCAACCGGTTCCAAAAATATAGAACCGGTTCCCGGACCGGTTCAAACAAGAACCGATTCCCGGACCTGTTTTCTAGGTGGGCCGGTCCGGTTCCCGGGTAAACCCGATCTGGTTGCACACCCCTAGGTGGAGTTGATAGAAACTCCGAGTCCGGAAAAGTTGTAGCGAAGCAGATCCTAGTCGTTGGGCCAGAGGACTCTGACCGACACAAAGTCCAGATTGGGAGATTTGAAGATGGAGAAAGCATGAGAGATGTAAATGGAGGAGCAAGGCGCGAAAAAGGAATGGGTATGATGTTGGATTTCCGTCAATGGGAAGAATTCATAATTTTGCTCCGGAGGTCAGCAACATCCTCGAAAAGGATGAAATTTTTGTGAAATTAGAGGAGCCGAGGGTGAAATGGAGTGCATGGCTTCCGTGCCCGACCCAACTCAAGCGGGATAGGAATTCGACTTGCATGTTTTCGAAGTCTCAGGATTACTTAAATTCTGCTAGCCCGTAAATGGTAATTTGTCAGCCTGATGACCTCTGGCTGATCATTTCTTCAAAGAGGAGATCTAAAGAAAGGTATGATGTCTTTTTACTAGTAGTTCTTTTCCTGGAAGTGCTGCAATTGTGTTTTTTAGGACGACAATGGATGATGATGGTTCAACCAGCGAGGAGAACTGTCATTGTGTTGTTGCCTGTGATTCTTTTCTGACCAGAGGATCTTGATGTACTCTGTACGAGACAGTTTCGTGCAATGGTCTGTTTTACTTTGTCCGGTCAAAGGTTTCTCTCAAAGGAAAAATGACCACAATGAGACTGCAAATGATGGATAGTGGACGGAGGCTTTTTCCAAGGGATTGTTACGGATTTCAGAGGAAGATGCTCCGAGGTTCACCATTGATGGTGTAAAATTAGACTACCACTGTTCTAGGAGGAATCGTCGTATCTCTCGGATCTTGAAACCTTTTCAACAAGCAAGATCTATACCTCTTTGCTTCCGCATCCTCAAAAGAACCTGGGATGGACCTCATGACCGAGATCAACCCCGCTCGGTGCAATACTCCCGCAGCTTCGGCTGCCACACCGTAACATATTTTTTATTCGTGCAATGTGAAAATGTGGAAGCACAATTTCGTTCGTCAAGCTCGAAACAGTAATTATACGGGCATTCACAAAGTCTTCTCAAATCACATATGTCAATCGGTTAGCACCGTAATAGAAAAGAAAAGTCAAGGAAGAAAGTATCACGTGAATCACAAATATCTTTACTATCTTTAAGGAAGAAACATCAAAATGAAAATTTAATCCCATTTTCAGCAAAAGAGAATGGACGAGCGGCGAAGAAAATGACAGACCGCAGAGAAATCTCCTGGAAAAGCACTAAGAACTCTCTTGAGAGACAAAGGAAACATAAAAATCTGAATCAATCCCATCCATGCTAACTCACCGTTGAAAACTAAAGATCGGTCCCGCAATAGAAGCATCCCCTTTTTGATGTAGGAGATATTCAATTCTGTCTTAACGTCCTCTCCTGGTCATTTGGAAAGCCATTTCGTGCTGCTTTATATTTGCTTTTCTAAAAGGTTGTTTGCTTTGGACATAAGCCCACCAACACACCTTTAGGAGAAGACTTGTGTTGATAGCTTGGCTTATTGGAAGGGCCGTGTCAGTTGAATCCCTATCCCCACCACCAGTAAACTCGCTCTCTTTCTGCTGAAGTGAATAATGGGGTGGCAGGGGCTTCTGGAACGGGCTCGTCATATGTCTAGGCAAAATGAAAGATTCGGTGAATGCACAGATATGAATGGGACTTTACCAATGTATTTCAAAGTCTCTCTGGTAATATTAATCAATTAGGACTGATTTTTTTTTTTGGTCGGTCCTACTCTATCTCTCACTCACGATACACACTCAGACTTGCGCTCCACCTCTTGCAGGGCGTGGGCGTCGAATTCCCACATCTTAAACTACGCGGCCCCACCCCTACCTTCCTGCGAAGGTGGGGATTCGAACTCCCCACCTCTCCCTTCTCAAGTGAGAAGGGTGGCCAGTGGCCCAGTGGTTAATTAGGACTGATTTGGCACGCAATAGAATTCCATCTTAGCCCTACTGTAAAACATCCCTAGGGTAATTTGTAGGGATAATGACACAAACAATCCCTGAACTTTGACTCAATGTGCAATTTGATCCATAAACTTTTAATTTGTTTAATATAATCCATAAACTTTAGGTTAATGTTCAATGTGGTCCCTGAACTTTAATTTTGCTCAATGTTATCCTTGAATTTTTTGTACATGTTCAATTCAGTCCCTCAGCTATATGAAATTGTTTAATATAGTCCCTCAACTTGAATTAATTGAAAAGACTGCATTGAATATTTTCATATAGTTCAAGGACTGAATTGAACAGGTACCAAAAGTTCAGGGATAACATTGAACAAATTAAAAATTTAGGGACCACATTTGTAACGACCCGGTCCGACTAGGGCGGGGAGTGGTCGCCTGGGTCCGAGGACCTGGATAAGGAGCGACTTCTGACAGGCTTCTAGGATGGCAAGGGAGGGCATGTCTCCCGTCCCACATCGCCTAGGGAGGGAGCCTTGGGCTTGCTTATAAAGGCTTGGGAAACCTTAACTTGCAAAAGGCCTTTTCTGGGGGTAATATGGGCTGCCCTCGGAGGAACAAAACCGTGAGAATTTAGTGTCCAAAGCGGACAATATCTTACGAGTGGGACCCAGGTCGTTACAATATTGCACATTGAATTAAAGTTCAGAGACTACATTGAATAAATTAAAAGTTTAGGAATTAAATTACATATTGAGTCAAAGTTCATGGACTGTTTGTACCGTTTTACCTAATTTGTATAGTCAACAATCCAACCGACGGAGTTTTTAGAATATTCATCTTGTGAGCCCACCAACAGACAGACCTTCTAGAGAAGACGGGTCAGTCACTTCACACTTTAGAAGGGGTGTCCAAATTGAAGCACTCACCCCACGTGCTAGAGTGAATAATGGAGCGACGCTAATAGTCTAGTGGGGTTTAAAATTAAGGATTAATATCACGAAAAATTTTAAACTGATATATTTATAACAAATTTATATCGAATTAATTTTTTAATCACAAAAAATTCAAAACTAATATACATATGATAAATTTACCTTGAACTAATTTTTTGACCACAAAAAACTCCAAACTGATATATTTGTGACAAATTTACTCTCCGTTAAATTGGATTAATACCATGAAAAATCACAAATTTATAAACCTTGGTAAAACCCTAAATCGGTACACCCGTCAATTGTCACGTGTCATCCAACTCAGCAATTTGACAGTAAAATTGAACGGAAACTAATGCAGGGTAAATTTGTCACAGATGTACCAATCTGGGGTTTTTTGTGGTCAAAAAATTAATTTAAGGTAAATTTGTTACAGAACTATCAGTTTGGGGTTTTTCAATCGTACTAACCCTATAATTAATAAACGATTTACAAAAAAAATGTAGTGGGGGATCTAATAGCTTTTTCTAGTGGGTGGATCTTGCATATTAAATTAACTCCCAACCCGCATGGCACGCTGAACTCGTTTGATCAGAGGCTCGTGTCCATCACTACACACTTTATCAGTTGAACCCCTCCCCTCACTCAGTATGCTAAACAGCAAAAATGGGGTGGCATCATCAAATCCTCAACCTCTTCTGTTTCCTCCTTTTCTTTCGTTACCTACCTCCTGCTTCATTCCCGATCCCGAGCACCCTCCGAGTCCAGCCCACACCGCAACCCCCCTCCTCCCGCCTCCCCCTCCCCTTCCCTAGCCTTGCCCTCCCGATCAATGCGATGCCTTGCTCCATTTTAAGACTTCCTTCGTGATTGATAGGGCAGCATTCCCCTCCGATTATAACGATATTAGTGGTCAAATGACAGAGTCATGGAACAAGGGGGTGGATTGCTGCTCGTGGGACGGTGTCATGTGCGACTATTTAACGGGTGGCGTCACCATGCTCGATCTTTGCTGTAGTTGGCTTCATGGCGCTCTCCATCCCAATATCTCCCTCCTTCTCCCGAAGCTTAAATGGTTGGAGTTGTCTTCTAATAACATTAGTGGGGAGATCCCAAGGTGGTTTTGGGGAATGAATCACGATACATTGGAAATCTTGAGTCTTCCTCATAACCAGCTTAAGAGGGGTATACAACACTTGCACGGGAAGAGATTGTCATATCTTAACCTCGGCTCCAATAATTTCACCGGTGAGATCCCCTCTTCAATTTGCCAATTGAGTTCACTTTGATATTTATATTTGGATAACACTAATCTCTCGGGAAATGTGCCACCATGTTTTGGTAATATAACCAGTCTCCAACTACTCAGTTTGAGCAACAATAAATTGGAAGGGACATTACCGCGCTCTCTAGTTAAACTCGTCAACTTACAATTTCTAAATCTTAGTTACAACAAGCTCAGTGGTATCTTCCCACATTGGCTAGAAGCACTGCAATTGGAAACCCTTGATTTGCAATGCAACAATTTTCATGGTGAGATCAACCTCACTGCCTTTAAGCTCTCATATTTATCGATTCGCAATAACAATTTTACTGGATGATTGCCCAAAGAGGTTTTCTCAAACACCTCATTATATATGATAGATTTGTCCGGCAACAGGTTTTAACGGCCACTTCCACTCCCACTTCCGTCGCCAGACACACTTTATTATTCCGTTGCAAGTAATAATATCACAGGAAAGATCCCTTCTTTGTTCTGCATTGCCATTTGCCACCAACCTCAAGGTCATTGACTTGCATAACAACGGCTTAACCGGTAGCTTGCCTCAGTGCTTAACAAATTTTAGCACCAATTTGCAAGTTTTGAACTTGCGAATGAATCACCTTGAGGGCACAATTCCTGAATCATTTTCTTCGAGAAATAGCTTGATGACTCTTGACTTGAGTAGAAATTGGATTGAAGGCACATTGCCCCGATCCCTTATCAAATGTGAATATTTGGAAGTTGTTGATCTCAGCAACAATCAGATAGAGGATACATTTCCGATACGGTTGGGAACTCTCCCAATGTTGATAGTACTAGTTTTAAGGTCCAACAATTTTAAGGATCTTCTGAACATTCCAAGAGGAGCTCACCTCTTTCCCATGTTATACATTTTAGACCTCTCTAACAACAATTTTGGTGGTCCTTTGCCAGCCAACTTGATGATGGACTTTAAAAGCATGCTGAATGGTGAAAATGGGCAAAACAAAATGTTGTATTTGACACGGTCTTATGGAAGGTGGTCATATGAAAATTCTGTGACCGTGACAGTGAAAGGGATGGAGATTCAACTTGTAAAGATCTTGACCGTCTTCACAACCATTGACTTGTCGAACAACTCTTTTCATGGGGATATCCCGGGAGTTATTGGACATCTTAACTCTCTCGTAGGGCTCAACCTTGCCCATAACTACTTTACCGGTACCATCTTGACTAATCTGGAATGGCTTGATCTTTCTTCGAACAAGCTTAGTGGGGTAATTCCTAGAAAATTGGGAGATTTGACATTCCTTGGGTACTTAAACCTTTCGAAGAACCAACTCACCGGTCGAATTCCTCAGGACAAGCAATTGAACACATTTTTAAACGACTCGTTCAGTGGGAATCCAGGCTTATGCGGAACTCCATTGTCAAAAGCATGCCTTGGCGATGCTCAACCTCCTCCACCATCATCCTCGTCAACTTTTGACCGCAAAGGGCATGAGAATTGGTTCAAACATAAAGTAGTGTGGATAGGTTATGCATCAGGAATCGTAATTGGAATATCTGTGGCATATATTGCATTTGAAACACGAAGGCCTACATGGCTCGCGCGAGGTGTGAGAATGCTGGAGAGAAGTGTAGCCGAGGGGATGGAGAAGCCAAAGCGGAAAACCATCAAATTTCATAGACAATGAAAATATTGAGGAGATGTCTCTTTATATTAATATAGACTAGGTGAATAAAGATGTCGGCTGACTAGCTTGAAAAGTCATTTTCCTTGGGAAGGTTTGTTTCTAATGTCTTCCCTCTCTTTTGTTTTGGTGCAATTCCATATCAGTTGAATTAAGAAGATGAACAATGAGATATCTTTTCCATCTTCCTATGCGCCTAGCTTTTGTTTGTCCATGGAGAATCAGAAGCGAAGACCTCACTTAACAATTCAGCCAAAAGTTTTCAATTACTTAATCTGCCGTGGAAATACGTCCAGAAGAATCAAACCAAAATTGTTGTTGAAGTTGCAGGTCGGTAGTAGATTGTGGACTGTTGCTATTATACGTTGTCCTTGATAGAGAACATCGGTCAAAGTGGAACGGAGAAATGGCGAGTGACATATTCGAAGTATCTTCAAATTCCACATAGTTCTACTGAAAAATAATAAAAGAGAGTGCCCTCCTCAATAACTAACTGTCCAAAATCAAAGTAAACTGTCTATCGTATGGTCATGGCCTTAGTCGTGCATGTCGTTATTAATGGTCACATTTTGCCTAAAGATTGTCTCATAAATAAAATATGGGTCGGTCGCCAACACTCTAATTAAAGTCGCCCCAGTTGAAAAAACCAGTTGTAGAAATTTACAATTTTTTATTTAATAACATTACAAGGCAAAGGCAAAGCTTTATTATGGAGCCAAAAAGTTGTCCTAATTAAAAATTATCGTGTCTATATATTTGAGAGACAACCATGTATGTGTTTTGAAAATTTAAAGAGGTTCGCGTTCCAAATTAAAATGAAAATTCTTTATATTGCTGAATCCCGTTGCTTGTGCTCACTTAAGATGCTCAGCAAGTGTTTGATGATATGTCCAAGCGGAATGTATCTTCTCGGGCAATGCCAATGATCACCGGGGGCATCAATGGGGAGCACGGCCTATTGCTTTGAGGGATGCTTCCGCGGCACGCGAAACTGAGATTATCACGAGGAGATCTGATCGACTGCGGATTTCTTTAGTCGTGTAGGGCAGAGAAGCTGCCAATTGAACCCGAGGAAATGATCTGGTAGAGCGTGTTGGGAGCCGGCGGAGTTGATAGAAACTCCGAGTCAGGAGAAATTGTGGTGAAGCCGATCCCTAGTCATTGAGCCAGAGGACTCTGACCGACACCAAGTCCAGACCGGGAGATTTGAAGATGGAGAAAGCATGAGAGATGTTGTGGAGGAGCAAGGTGCGAAAGAGGAATGGTTATATGATGTTGGATTTCCGTCAATGGGAAGAATTCATAATTCACTCCAGAGGTCGGCAACATCCTCGTAAAGGATGAAATTTTTGTAAATTAGAGGAGCTGAGAGTGAAACGGAGTGCGTGGTTTCCATGTCGGTCCCAACTCAGGCAGGATAGGAATTCGGCTTGCTTTTTTAGCAGTCTCAGGATTACTTAAATTCTGTTAGCCGGTAAATGGTAATATATCAACCTGTTGATGACCTCTGGCTGATCATTGCTTCAAAGAGGAGATTTAAAAAAAGGTATGATGTCTGCTAATAGTAGCTCTTTTCCTGGAAGTGCTGCAATTGTTTTTTCAGGACAACAATGGATGGTTCAACCAGCGAGAAGTTCTGTTATTGTTTTGTTGCCTGTGATTCTTTTCTGACCAGAGGATTTTGATGTACTCTGTACAAGACATTTTTCAAAGCAATAATCTGTTTAACTTTGTCCGATCAAAGGTTACTCTTAAAGGAAAAATGGCAGGATACAAGACTGCTGCAAACAGATGGTAATTTTCTTATCTCTGTGCTTGGCAATAAAATCTATTCGTATTTGCTTGAAGAGAAACCTGCTCATCTATGACCGTTGTTTGCAAGCACCCGGCAGTGAAATGTCTTTCAACGTATCTTACTTCTGTTCTGCAATTTCTGGTCCTTGGCTGTAATGAAAGTGCATAAGGATACGCTCTAGTCGCATTTTCTGTGTTATCTCTGTGAGTGCAGGATTTGATATACCAAATTCCTCAGCTCGTCCCGCCTTTATGTGCTAAGCATGCGGTTGTTGCTTGCATTCTGTTCATAGACTAAGTTGACCGCAAAAGAAACCAAAGAGAAATCATCTGCAGGTTATCAGGTTATTAGAGACCTTCCTTCTGGGAGATCTAAGAAGCTACCTAGTCGGTTAATTCTCAGCACTTGATAGATGGAGTCTTGAAATTTTGAAGCTCATTGGGGCAGTAATAGTAATACAAAGACAGTGGAGTAACATTACTATATCTTTCATTGGTTTCAAGAGGCAAAATATTTGCAAGATCCACTCACTCTAAGAAGTATTGTATACTTAAGATGGACAAAATCCTGCATAATCTAAAGCTTTCTGTATCTCAAATACATCGCAGAAGAAACACAAGCCACACCATTACCTTTCCTTTACCAGGACAAGACGGAAGCAAAAAAACTGGGATGAGAAAGAAAAGAGAAACAACTATGATCTGCTTCCTGTCAAACTGTATATGTTTGTCAAAATGGCAATTGTACTTGTCATTGCTGCCAGGCCAATCATTACTCCCGCAATGATCCTGTCCTTCACTGTTGAAATACCATGAATATCCCTGCACACGAATAGTACAAAACTAATTATATCGAAAATATTTTCAAAGCCATGCAATTCTTATGGATGCTGAATATATTGGACAGGATCGGTACCTCAGCACAATGGCGCCTGGGAAGATGAACGCGAGGCAGACTGCGGAGGTGGATCCTAGAAATTGGAAAAAGTACCAAATATTTGGAAATGCAATTGCGGCGAGATAACTGATGACAAGCAGAACAAGTGTGAGCCACAAGAATCTAGGTGTGTCAGTGGCCAGGAGCGGCTTCCTTGGGAAGAGAAACTCGTCAATGTTGGCTCGTAGAGAGAAATTCAAGAGGGGAAACACCAGCATAAGGTGTAGAGCATAGCTCAACCGGACTGAGTCGTTCAGCAATGAACCTATCGCTGTCTCTGAGTTCCGGTCGAAGTTGACAAGTATGTCGGCCATTATAGAGTCACCAAAGAGCAGATAGCCGAAAATTCCTATCGCGAAGTAGATGGAAGCACAGAGCACTAGTGATATTCTGACTGCAGCAATCATATGAGAGGGTTTTGCAAGCTCGGAACCAATTGGATGAACTGCAGGTATTGGGATTTAGAACTGTATCATAAACTTGATTAAATCTGAAAATGAGGATTAGAATTTACGTATTTGACTGATGCCGATGCCAAAGTTCTTTCAAGGCATGATTGACACAACTGTTGAATCTTATGCTGAGCACAAAAGATTCTTCTGTTGTTCTCACCATTGAAGTGAAACGTGAAGGCCGTCACAATAACCGGAACAGCAGTAAAGAGGTTGAAGAACGAAGACAGGTTCTCCAAATCCGGCAGCAGTCTTGGGTTTTTTGCTTTCCCCTCCAAGAGGGCACGAACTGCCAATACCAAACTGATGGCGACGAAGACCACTGCTAGAAGAACTGATACAGCCGAGCTGAATCTCAAAGATTCTAGAAACACAGCAAAAGAGATTTAGAAAGCACAAACCTCAGCAGCAACATGAAAGTTCGTTGAGCATTTGAGATCTTATTGAGCTTAATCAAAAGGTCTCCTGTTCATTTTGAAAGCTTTTCGCTTCATTTTGTTGAAGTTATCTTCTAAGTTAATCTTTTTTCTTGGGTAATCATCTTCTTAGTGAAGTTGTTCTAAAGCTATGACAGCAAGGATCTTCAAGAGGGAGATCTTCCAAAGAAAGCATAGGACAACCGTCTTGCCCCTACGACTGCTGGAGAATTGAAGAAAGACGGCCAACAGATACTCACCGACACGGCGTAGCAAGACCAGTGGAAGCATCACAAACACTATAATGAAGAGGAGCGCAAATTCTCGGGAGTTCCACCAGCGAACACCGAACCACTCCTGCAAGATCCCCAGATGGATTGATCCATCGGGCTGATTTCCAGAGAGTACGTCCCCTGAAAGAAATAATACTGAGATATAGTGACACTGAAAAGTTTTACAAGCAAATCTGGTTCTAAATGTCAAAACCGAGTCCTTAAAACAACAGGAGCATGGATTAGAGGAATCACCAATGCAACTGATTGAGGTAATTCATCTATTATAAGTTCATGAAACGATAATCAATTGAAATACTCCTTAGATTTCCCATATCACCCTGTCGTCTGTCATCGTATATTGCTCTTCAAGATAATCAGACGAGGTACTGGTTTCAGGATGATTTCGTCCAAGACATGGTTATTAATCTGTGAAACAAGTTAAGGAATTGAAGGAATCAACTCCTTTCAGGAATCTCACAAGCTCCAAAATCTTATGGCCCCAAAGAAACCAGTGATGGCTACCAGATGCAGGTGTTAGTGCCATTAAACATTAACTAACCACCTTATGGGTAGCTCATGTACTTACCGATGATGATAAGGTAAATGATCAGACACCCGAGGTTCGTGATCATGACACAAACTTGCACGGCCACGGATCCAACCCGCCCGAACGACTCCTTCATGACTCCCGCATACGTCGTGGCTTCCCCGGAGTGTGTGAACCTCATCAGGAACTCGACCGACACGTCAGCGAGCCACGCGATGACCACGATCAGCACGAACGCAGGGACAGCCCCGAGAACCTTTAGCGTCGCCGGTATGGACATGATCCCAGCCCCGATAATGCTTGTCGAGACGTTGAAGACCGCACCGGAGACTGATGCCGCCGGCCTGGCGGGCGACTTCTTCTCCGGCAGCAGCGGGACATGCGGATCGGCCTCCGGCGACATCACTGCTGGGAAACTTCAGGCGCCAGGCGGAGGGTCTGGGGTCTCGGATGCTGTCTTATTGTACATGATTGTCCATGAATGCTTATATATCTGAGAATGTTTTGCATGTGGGGCTGACTCAACTTACGAAAATGTCATTGGTCGGAGGGAAATGTCCTAAATTCTTCCCAAAGTAAGCATAGGGCAAGGACGTAAATTCGCTTCCAGCTTAACTCCTTTTTTATGATTATTTGACAGCTCGGAGTGGGACAAAGAATGGTTGGTGGGCAATGATGGATGTACGCAGACGCAATAGGAATGTAGAAATGCATGTGGACGCAAAAATGTAGTTTAGGGGGGGTGGTTGACATGGGTTTGGAAACATTACATCCAATTTGGTTTTGTCTTTGCTAACAATGCTAGGGGCGTTTTGGATGGTCCCGCCAAGAAAATCAACTTGCTAATTTTGATTCGATGAAGAGAAACTGACAAAACGACGTATGAAGTGAAATCTTACTCGTCAAAACAAAAGATATGAGATTTTTAAATTTCAGAGTAATTTTCTCCGTTTTGTCACATGAGTGGTTTTGCGTCATCGACAAGAACATGATTGATGTAGATTTTTCCTGTTTCTTTCTTTCCAAGCTTCATCGCCGAAGAACCAAACATCAAGCAAAGTCGAAAGGAAAAAAATCACCAAAAACCTAAAATTATGCTCATTATGACATTTCAAACTTATATATATGTGATATATTTACCCTCTGTCAAGATTCCATTAATGAACACCGATAAAGATCTGTTCGAAAAGGAAATAGTATTAACATGTCGTCCACGTGATTTAAATGAAAGAAAAACGACGTTATTTTGATTGAAAATATCACTTGACAAAATATTAATAAATGATAACGTGATTCGGGATAAATGTGTAACGGCATACATAATTTGAAATTGTTTTGTTGCTTTTTTTCAAGGCCAAGTTTAAGAGAGGAGCATTTTGTTTTACAGATGGTGCGATGGTCTGTAAACACACGCACGAGCAAACTAACTTTCTCTAATCATGGTTTCTGTCGATGTTAGGGGGGGGTTACATCAGCTGGTTTTGAGATCCGTGTCGAGATTGTACACGTTCTTCTTTGTTTAATAACTTAATTAAACTACAAGTGCTTGGCGCGTAGCGCAAATAGAAAATTAATGCTAAGACATCGCGTCGAAAGGGACGTGAGCCTGGAGAATTCCTGGTATGCAGTCTCGGAATCGGGATAGTCGTCGAATTCGGCTGTCCTGCGCGAAGACAGGTGAAAATGATGGACGCGGGATGAAAAAGCCTCGGTGGGGAAGCATGCATGAAAAGTGAAGATCGGGAAAAAATATCAAAAAAGTCCTAAATTTTTTATAATGACGTCGATTTAGCCTCAAATTTTTTTTTGATATCAATTCAGTCCTAAATATTTTATATTAGTAACAATTCAGTCCTAAACATTTTATCGTTGTGTCAATTCAGTCCTTCCGATCAATTTTGACCGGATTTTGCTGACGTGAATAACTTTTAATAATATTTTAATATTTTAAAAAAATTTATTTATTCTTTTTCTTTTTTGTTCCTCCCCTTCCTCCTTCCTCCAGCCGGTAGCCGGAGCAACGACTGGGCAAAGGCCAGCGAGGTCACCTTGCCGGCTACTAGTGAGGCTCACCCTCGTCGAATGGCCGCGAGGGCGGCCTCGTGCTAGCTGGGCAAGGCTCGAGCCTCGCCAGCGACTAGGCGATGCCCGACCTTGCTAGATCTGGCAAGGTCAAGCCTCGCCCAGCCACTGGCGAGGGCTTGAGCCTCACCAGTGGCTAGGCGAGGCCCGACCTCGCCGGATCTGGCGAGGTCGACCTCGCCGACTCTAGCGACCGGCTGGAGGAAGGAGGGAGGGGAGGGGAGGGGAGCGGAGGGGAGGGGAGGGAAGGGAAAAAAAGGAAAGAAAAAAATAAATAAAAATTCAAAAAAATATTAAAATATTATTAAAAGTTGTCCACGTCAGCGTCGATGACCGGCTGCCGGCCGGCCGGCGTCCACGTCAACAAAATCCGGCCAAAATTGGCCGAAATGACTGAATTGGCACAAAGACAAAAGGTTTAGGACTGAATTGACACCAATGCAAAAGGTTTAAGGCTGAATTGGCACCAAAAAAAGGTTTATGACTAAATTTATACCAATGCAAAAGGTTTAGGATTTAATTTGCATCAAAAAAAGATTTAGAACTAAATTAACATCTATACCAAAGGTTTAGGACTTTTTTGATGCTTTTTCCTTAAAGAGCTTTGGTTTTTTAACTTTCGCATGTCTCATCTTTTGTACCACCTTTAATTATCATGGCGTCGAGCTGGAAGGAAGTGACTGTGTTCCGAAAATATCTTTCTAGCTATCCATCAAATGGATAACACAGTACAAATTATTTATATTTTGTTGGCTTCTGCCCAAATACGATGGAAGTCTCACTTAAACCCGATCCACTATCGATCGAACGGTCCAATCCCTCAGATTAGATGGATCTCACGTGCAGCCCGCCGCTTGTATATCCGATGACTAAGTCACGGTTCATCATGATTTGAGTTTAGATGAGAATTTGTAAAAAAAAAATTAAAAAGAATTATCCACTTTGCAATTGGTTGGGCTGCTTCTCTAAGAGGGGTTGGGAGTAGAAACTTTACCCTCGTTCTTAGACTCGAATAAATGCTTCCTATGAAGTCTTTGTCGATGTATGCGCTATCAGAAACTTCCACCATTCTTCCGTTGAGTTGCCTAGCAGTAGACCTATTAAACGGATGGGTCGGGTCGAGTTTGGGTCGGGTCATAAATGGTCCGACCCAAATTGACCTATTAACCCGTTTATGACCCATTTATTCATAGTATACACGACCCGACCCATACTCGACCCGATCCATACCCAACCCATACCCGACCCGACCCGACCCATGTTGCTAAAACACTTTTATATTTAACCTAATCTAGAAATACTTGTTTCTTATGATTTTTTTTTTAAATTATACCGCTAAAACATTTTATGCAAATACAAAGCTAGTGAAAAATTTTTATAATTTTTTTTAAAATTGAGGTTCTGTTTGTTTTACGAAAAATGCGACATTTCTAAAAAATATTTTCCATAAAGTCATTATCCAAGAAAATAAAAAAAAATTAATATTTTTTTATTTTTTAAATCGAATTTTTAATTATTTTTTATTTTATTTTTATTTTTTTCTTTTTCCTTTATTTTTGGCCGATCGCCGGCCGTCGTGGCCAGCGACGGACTATAGGCGAGGACGAGCTCACCGGAGGCCGGCGAAGCTCGTTCTTGCCGATCTGGCGAGGCCGAGGCCTCGCCTGCCTCAGGCGAGGCTCTAGCCTCGCCGGCCTTAGGCGAGGCTCTAGCCTCGCCGGGATCGGGCGAGCCTCGAGGTCGCCGGGATCGGGCGAGCTCGAGGCTTGCCAGATCGGTGAGGCTCGAGCCTCGCCCGAGGCCGGCGAGCTCGAGCTTCGTCGGCCTCCGGCGAGGTCGTCCCGCCCCGGTGGCCGGTCGCCGTGGCCGACCACCGGCCGGAATAAAAAAAAAAAAAGAAAAAGAAAGAAGAGAAAAGAAAAAAGAAAAAATAAAAGAAAAGGAGAAAAAATAATTAAATTTCGATTTTTTTTAAATATTTTTGTAAAAAGGGAGAGAGTGTGTGAATGGGTCTAGTAAGTGGGTTGGACATGGGTTCCAAACTCAACCCATTTAGACCCATTTATTTTTAAATGGGTCATATATGGGTTTAAGACCCATTTTGACACCTCTACCTAGCAGTTGATACCTAAAACGAATATAGCAGAAACCAGTGCAGATTGCTGAAGTGTTCTATTTCTTTGCCTCCGATGAATTAAGTTTTATTTGCACCAAAAATTGATCGGGTCATCGATATGGATAGGCACGTGACTAGAGTGTAGGGTATTTTTAAGCACTCGATCCATTATCAATGACCATAAGGATTATTATTGATATCGGTGTATATTAGAAGGGGCAACAAATTACCAATTGAGATATTAAGAGGGAGCTGGAGCCTGGATTTGTAGAGGGTGTCCGAATGCAGTTATGAGTCTTAAGTCACTAGAGAGTGAGGCAGCGGAATCCAGAAAAGTTATGGAGTGACCAAAATGGGATTTTAAGGGAGCAACAGCTCGAAGACAAGATCATGGTATCATGGGAACATGGGAACAAGATTTATGGAGATGAGGGAACATGGCTGAACCGTAGAAGAACTGCTCAGAGATTGTTATTGCATGGCCACTATAAATACCATCATTCGTCTACTAGAGACCCCACACGCACAAACAAACAAATCTACACCTTTCGGTTATCTTTACTTTCATGCATTTTAGTTTTCAGACTCTTGTCATCGATTAAATTCTAGCTTGTTTCTTAGTTGTAGTTTCCAGATCCGCATCGTCGATTAAATTCCAGCACGTATCTTTATCCTGGATGTCACGTTATTCGTTAAATTCGGGCGTTATATATTTGCGAACTCAATCTTGCGATTATAAGCCTCTACAATGACCCGTTCAAGATTTCCCTTAGGCCCTTATGACGCGGGTGAGCCTATGAGCCACCAGATCCATGATTTATGTAGAGATTATTCTCTCTTTTTTTTTTTTTAGTACAAACGATAAATAAAAGTCCTAGCAGAGTTAAATGAAATTTGTTACAAAAGCAAAGTTCAACTGCCGGCACAGATATAAATTTGAATTTTGGAAAATGAATTCATTCCATTTGTAGATTGAAAATTTTCATTTGATAATCGATTGGATAAATGATATTTTCAAGCTGGCGGTCTACCTCGTGCGAAATGAAAGACCCGGGTCTTATGGGCTCTTGACCTTCTTGGGCCGTCATCTTTTGGGCTCTCCGTACTGGGCCCTACTTGGGAAACGGGCCCCCGCGAATTCCGGGGGGACGAAGAAGATAAGGAAAGAACCCGACACCGTGGACGACCGACCCGACCCGCGACGACAGGACCTTTTTCCCTGGGTATCTGGCTGCCTTTCTCACGTTTCCTCTCTCTCACAGTTCAACGCCACCGAAGACCTTCCTGTCGCCACTACCACCACCTCGACGCGCCTCTGCTTCGAGCAGAGCTGTACGCTTCGTTTCTCTGACCAGTCCTCCGCGACGATCGGCCGTCGATTCGAGTAGCTCCGCCGCGATCGCGAACGGAGAGATGGGGGATCAATTGGCGAGAGGGGACGAGTACGAGAAGAAAGCGGAGAAGAAGCTGAACGGCTGGGGGCTGTTCGGCTCCAAGTACGAGGACGCCGCCGATCTCTTCGACAAAGCCGCCAATTGCTTCAAGCTCGCCAAATCCTGTATTTCAATCTCTCCCGCTTCTCCTATTTTGATCCGCTTGACTTTGATGTCGATGGAAATCTTTGGGGAAGGATTTTGCGGATGCGCTGCGCGTTTGCTCTGGACGATCGGCGCAGCGCGTTGCGATTGCATGCATTTGGGCGATCGTGGAGATTGCTCTTCGATCTAAGTTTGCTGAGCCCCTGGGTTTTGGCAGATTTTGGATTTGTGGTTGGGTGGATTGATTTCGGGACGAACTTTGATTTTGATTAAGATCGATAGTGTCGACGTTTAGGAAATGAAATGCGTGTCGCTGTAAGTCTTTTCCCGTGGATATCTTTGGGCGCTGGGTCTCGTTTCATCTGATTTAATTGTTTCTTTTCTTTTCCATTTTTGTGTGATCATTGTTTTTCGGTTGATTGACTGATTCACTTGCATAGGTTAATGTGCAGGTTTGGTTAAGGAAAAATGAATGCTTGACTAGGCATTTATGATCTACAATATATGCTGTAATTTCTAACGTTGCTGATTGTTGGGTTCTATCTGGATTGTCCGTGTAGGATCGATGGTATATGTTGCGTGCGAGCTGTATTGATCTTGATCTTTTAAATAACCGTGGAACTTGTTGGCTTCTCTATGCGCTTCGTGGATTGTAGCTATCTAGGTTAGCTTTTAGAGGGCGTGCCTAGTTGAGCAACCTATGACTCGCTAATGTTTTTGATGTTGTTAATATTTCAGGGGACAGAGCTGGATCAACTTATATAAAGTTAGCAAATTGTCACTTAAAGGCAAGTGCCAACCTTCTCTAAGACTGGGAACCAGACAATATGCGTCTATCTTAACCCTAACTTGACAATTGGTTCATGCAACAGTGTGAAAGCAAGCATGAAGCTGCCTCCTCTTATGTTGATGCTGCCAATTGCTACAAGAAAACATCCTCCAAGGGTATGTGTCTGTTGATACTTGATGTAAGATAACAAAAGAAGATCAGAAGATTATTTACTCCTTAGTAAAGGCATTCCTTGGTCTCTAACCATTTGGATGTTTCTGTCCAGGGTTTTGCAAAACCTTCTCAAATCCCTCAATTTTTAAATGTAATCTGTAGCTTGTAGCTTAATGATTTTGTAAAGTAGCTCCATTTGGCTCTGTGTTTGTGTCCTTTGGGCTGTTAGCAATCTGTGGCCTATGGAGATTGTAGCCTTTTCCTTGGGGTTCACTTGATTTTTTTTATTTCTGTTGCATTTCTAGCTGTAAGAATCAAGTATGCCTCTTTCAGTTCATTCTTTGTTCCCGAGCCTTTTTCCTTTTTTGGTCTAAATAAGATATGGATAATCTTTATTTGAAGTATTCCTTTTTATGTAGAGGCTATAACTTGCTTGGAGCAGGCTGTGAATTTGTTCATGGACATAGGGAGGCTCAATATGGCTGCGAGATATTACAAGGTGCAATTTTCTCTTTGACATCAGTCTGAATCAATCCTGCATTTACACAACCTTGCAAAAGCACTCTTAGCATTAACACGGTTCAGCACTATCTGCTTTGAGAGATATTCCTAGCTGACTATGATTCTTATGAACCATCATATTGGGGCATTGTTTGCTGGGACTTACAAGGTGCAATTTTCTCTTTGACATCAGTCTGAATCAATCCTGCATTTACACAACCTTGCAAAAGCACTCTTAGCATTAACACGGTTCAGCACTATCTGCTTTGAGAGATATTCCTAGCTGACTATGATTCTTATGAACCATCATATTGGGGCATTGTTTGCTGGGACTTTCCCATTCTAAGAAACCAATTATCTTCAAGGATTTAAAAAGTGTGCTCATTTCTGTTATGCATCTGACGGATGGATTTCTTGGAATAAGGTCTGGTTTGATGAAAGTTACTAATTACAGGCTGTCATTGCCTTGAGATAATGACATCGGAGAAGGCTTTAATCAGGTGAAATGAACTAGTGTTTATAAAAGATTTGACTTCGCCAATTATTGTTAGTATTTATGTATATTTCAACTATGGAAGTTAATTTACTGAAGTGATGAGGCATTTACAATTAGCACCTAATAATAATTTGATATTGACTGTGGTCGTCGCTCTAGTGTGAGGTCAAACTGGCTGAGGAGCACGACTGCTGGTGAAATTTTGGAGAATAGAAAGACATTCATGCATCTAACTGCATTATAATAAGTTTAGATCTTTTGACTAATGATGCCAGCAAAGGGATAAGGGCCCTTTAGTGGGTGAGTTGCATTTCAACATTGTCAGGATGTAGACGTCGGAAAACAATAGTTCATTGATTTATGTTCTCCCAGATTGAGGCAGCCTCTGATGACCGGTGATTTTGTTGTGTAGGATATTGGTGAGTTATATGAGTCTGACCAGAACCTTGAACGTGCTGTTGACAATTTTGAGAGGGCAGCTGAGCTCTTTGAAAGTGAAGAAGTGACCACGTCTGCCAACCAATGCAAGCAGAAGGTTGCACAGTTTGCAGCTCAACTAGAGCAGTAAGCCTACCTTTCTTTAGCAAGTGGCATTCGTAGATACTAATGCTGTTTGACACGGCTGCAAAATTAAGTCAATTGATGAACTTCTTTGGATCCTGGTTTTTTGGCTCTTGTTTATGCACCTTGATTTCCATAGCTGACATCAGAGAGAAAACTTTGAACTGAAAGAAAATTTTGATTCTGCTGATTTTCTTTTGGTTTTGTTTTTGGCCGAAGATTTTCTTTTGGTTTTTTGCTGGCTAATTTGTTTGCACCTTCATTTTTATTGTTGTGTATGAAGGGTTTACAACATTGTCGATTATCTGGCGCATGATATTGTTGCATTGTGCCTATGTTCATCTGGTGCTTCTTGATTGACCAAAAATATCTGTTATCAAGAGTGGATATCCTTTTTCATGTGTTGGACAGATACGCTATATATATACATAACTCACATGCAGACATGCTTTTTATGCTTGCCTGTTTAAAATACTTAACATATATTACCTAGAAAAAAATAGACGAAGGATGCTCAACTGAACATGATTATAGTAAGGACAGGTCAATTGTGTAGTGCTATTGAAGTTACTTGAAGATTCTTGATGGGATACTGAATATTTTATCTGTCTTTCTCTTCAGATATCAGAAAGCTATTGAGATTTATGAGGAGATAGCACGTCATTCTCTGAATAATAACTTACTGAAGTATGGAGTGAAAGGACATCTGCTAAATGCTGGCCTTTGCCAACTCTGCAAGGGCGATATAGTTGCAATATCAAATGCACTGGAACGCTATCAGGTCTTGTTTCTGGCCATTAACCATAAATTACCTTGTTTCTCGGACTGAACTCATGGATGGGCATTTGACTTTGCAGGAACTAGATCCAACTTTCTCGGGAACACGTGAATGCAGATTACTAAAGGTTTTATCTGATGATTGTGCTCCTGTTCAATTTGTCTGCGTATTGCCTTTATGACCTTTATAACGAAATGGACTTTCTGTCTTCCTCTATTTTACTCTTCACGGTGGTTGAAACCATTGTTCCCCACGGATGTGGTTCTAGTTCCTTTTGTCCTTTTGTTATGTATATATTTTTTTTGACATATCAAAACTGATGCTTGTTGTCTTTTTTACCTTGCAACTTGCTGTAGTTGTTTGCTAGATGTGAGAATTCTTTTCTTTTTCCAGGATATCGCTGATGCAATTGATGAAGAAGATGTCGTGAAGTTTACTGACGTTGTGAAGGAGTTTGACGGCATGACTCCTTTGGTAAAACACTCTCATGCCTCATGTTACTATCTAATTGGCCTTTCTGCAGATTGCTTTTCCTTCTTGTGCGTCGGCAAAGATCATTTCGTCACATTTGTAATGACATTACCTTGATAGTACGAAAGCAAATTGGCGTTCGCCCTCTCTGCTTTTGGTTCTTGAAGTTATCATAAAAAGCTGTGCTTTTGGCCTTGCATTTAAAGATGAAAATCCTACATCTTCTCCATTGTCTTTGTTCTTCTGGAAAGACCATTCATTATGGGGTTTTGGAGCTAAAGCATATGAATCTAGGCAGTCGTTGTGATTGCACACTCCTTTGTTGCTGATGCTGTCAAACTTTTGTTTGTGTAGGATTCATGGAAAACAACTCTTCTGCTGAGGGTAAAGGAAAAGCTGAAGGCCAAGGAATTAGAGGAGGATGATCTCACATGATTCTTCCATGTTACTTTCTTTGATAGCTGTCCATTTTAACTGTTCGAGTGTGTGGTCTGTCTGTGTCGATTATAACGTTGAGATTGCTTGGCTTTCTTGATGTTTTCTTTTACTCTTGGGGGCTTGGATTTGCAAATATGTGCTTGATAACTCTTAAGTACTAATGACTTTCGAATAATATTGACTTCTACATAGTAAATACATTAAGCTATCTGGTCATCTCAGTTCTTGTGATGTCCTCTAGGTCACGGCGTTCTGCCTTTCTTTTGTGGAGAGGGGCGTCTGCTGTCCACTCACTTTTAGGTTTTGTTTTAAAATACACGAATGCAGAAATTTCTTAAGGCTTATACTTCAACAATTATTTTATTTCTTTAGGAATCATAAAAGCAACAATATAGCTCTAAAAGTAACTGTCTATATTTTTTTTTAAGTTTTGCAGTGTACGATATTATTCATATGACAATACGTTATTGTCGTGCGTGAGATCACAATACAGATGGTTTGAAAATGGAACATCAACGTCTGACAAACCTAGGTAGAATGCAATATTTTAACCATAATTTGGAACTAGCCGTCTTGTTATAGCATAGCTTGCTAATATTTAAAATTTTAATGCATAACCTCGTCCTCTTCACTTAGAGCTGCCGCCTACCAACAAGCGCATGAACGATTATTGAATTGAACAACTGACAAATCATATTTCATCGCAATGTCACACTTCGTTTCTCATCTGGGCTAACATGTTTACGTGACCTGAAGGAGCTTATTAAGCTCGATTATCTTAAGACAACTACATTACATAGGTACGCTCTTATCCTAATTCAACTCTGAAAAGAATGATGGTAAGTTCGTTTCCGAATGAAGGAATTCATGTAGTCCCCAAATTAACTTAGAAAAAAAGGAACTAATCGAGTCCGTGTTGAGCCTACCCACTTACCCTGCGGCCCACAAATCCCATGGTCAGGTTAGCCCAATGTTGGATGGATCTGTATTGCAAGAAGATGGACAGGAAAAGTACAAAAAAAGTCCTAAACCTATTATATTAGTACCAATTCAGTCCTAAATCTTTCAATTTGACCAATTTAGTTCTAAACCTTTTCACATTAGTACTAATTTAGTACATCCGGCCAATTTAGGCTGAAAATCGCTGACGTGGACGCTGCGGCACCCTCACCCAGATCCAGGCGAGGGCTGAAACCCTCATCTGTTGGCTAACGAGAGCGTCAACGCCCTCGCTTGCCGCCCTAGCCCGCCACAAGCGAGGGCCGCGATGCCTTCGCCTAGTCTGGGCGAGGGCTTTGTCACCCTCACCCTGATCTGGGGAGGGTCGATGCCCTCACTAATGGCCAGTGACGGCACGATGGCCCTCGCCCATGGCCGACGAGGGCACGGGAGCCCTCGCCCAAATCAGGCGAGGGTTGCCAGCCCTCGCCTAGACCAAGCAAGGGTTGCCAGCCCTCGCCTAGACCAGGCAAGGGTTGCCAGCCCTCGCCTGTGGCCGACGATGGTCGGCTGGCGACCTCACCGGCCAACCATTTCCGGGAAAAGAAAAAAAAGTAAAAAATTATGAATTTGTCCATGTTAACGCTGGCTGTGTCACGTAGAATCGCCAGCATCCGCGTCAGCGATTTCCGGCCTAAATTGGCCCGATGGACTGAATTGGTATCAATGTGAAAAATGTTTAGGACTACATTGGTACCAATGCAATAGGTTTATGACTTTTTTGGTACTTTTCCCGATGATGGACCTTGGGGAAATGCAAATGTCCTCGGCCTAAAGCCCTCTAGGGAAATACAAATTGCTTTTGGTGAAAAAAATCCTTTATAAAATTATTTTAGCCTTGGTTCAGCTTTCCCAAGAGGCTTTGGAGGCCCCTTGGGGAAATACTGGGGTAATTGGCAAACCTTTCCAAAGGGTTTTGGGTCAAATGTTGGCCTTGAGCAATTTGAATGCTGAAATTAGTTTTTTTCATTCAAAACTACCTTTACCAATTCTTTAATTTTTCAGTTTTGCCCCTTGTTATTATTGTTCATTTTCTTTGCACGACCTAGGCGATGAGGCCTACGGTTGCGCGATCCTAGTGACGATCGCATGACCTCGGGCGACAACCTTAGCCCTTTGTCGGAGCCGGCAAAGGGTTAGATTTTTTAATAAAAAAAAGAAAAAATTAAACTCAAAAGCCCTTTGCAAAAAAAATAAAATTTGCCAAACGCTATGGATAAGAAAAGCAAGCAACTATCATTAAGTCGATTTTGACGATAACATAAGAAAACTGAACCATGTAATAAGGCAACAAAGCACCACTTTAGGTAGAAGAAAGGCGAAAGTTAGTGCCGAAGAAGAGTGTGTGCTTAATCAGATCCTAGTCATATGAGCAGACGTGGGGGTGGGTTTGATGGATTCGATAGAACTACATTTCACCCAAGTAATCATCGAGCGTATGCCGCAGCAACACTACGTCAAGCAACGTGAAAACCGGCTTAAGATATCACTCGCTAGAAGGGGGAGAAAAAAACAGAAGCTAAGTGGGAAGTTATATCACCATGCCCCCAATTTTCAAAACGATGAAAACGATAGCGATCATTTTTGTGACCGCCATTTCAAGGACGGTCTTTTAGTCAACGGGGAAAAAGTAGAAGCCCAGATTGAGAAAAGGGAGCACACAGAAGGTCATCCACCGAAAACGTCCAAGTTCCAACTGATGACCCCAGGGAAAGCAAGCAAACAACCTTACGACTAATTTATACACAATATCAAAGTATTGCATGATGTCAGACTATAAATGGGGAAAGCAGAAAAAGCATTTGGATTAAAGTCGTGGTTGGTCCACCGATGCTGATGGTGCTCCTTTGTTATTTCTCCACTGGGATTCTGCGAACAATCATGCTAATCCACCGCCCTTGTGATACACACTGACGTTTACCTGTTGTATATTTCGAAAGAGGGGAAACAGGAAAGGAAAAACAACAAAGAAAACCGGCCAGTTTCGTCGAATTCTTTTCTAGACTCGATCCATAAGATCGAATCGAGTCATCCCAAGATGTCACATACAGCCGATGATATGCGTGTCGAGTCCAGCCGAAATGTATATCGTCTTCCGTGTAGTTGTCGTTAGGGCTGTCAATAAAGCCCGGCCCGCCGCGGACCGACCCGGCCCAGCCCCGAAATTTAGGGCTTCTTCGGGGCGGGCCTCCTCTGGGTTGGGAATAGTTTTAAATTTTGAATATTATCTTTATTTCGGGCCGGATCGATCCGGACCGGGCTTTTTTGACAGCCGGCCCGTGACTTAAAAAACCTAGCGTATCCTCCTCCTCCTCCTCTTCTCTTCCCTCTTCTTCTTCGCTTCGCCTCTTCTTCTTCCTCCTCCTCCTTCACCAGACCATCACAGCCTCTCTCTCTCTCTCTCTCTCTCACCATGGCGGAGTAGGCCGAGTCAGAGGTGGAGTCGTCGAGCAAGCTGGAGTCGTCGAGCCCGTCGGCGGTGCCGGAGGACGAGGCGGTCCCGGCGCTCCACAAGAGCGGGGTCGTGGGGATGTTCCTCACCGAGTCGCCGCACCTCTTCGCCGGCGACGCGGCGTCACACCAGAACGAGGACCCTTCGATCGCGGCTGCCGGATCCCCCACCCCGGCGGCGGCAGGAGGGACGTCGCCGCCGCCGCCGAGGAGGGGGGAGCGGATGCGGCGTGGTGGTGGTGGGGATCCCGCCTGAGGCGCATCAGGAGCTCGGCCACCATCCTGTCCTCCGCCATCGGCGTCCTCACCCACCCGTCCTTCACCGCCATCGCTGCCGGCGGCCGAGAACCCAATTTACCCACCTCCTCCTGCTCTGGGGAGGCGCCACCGCCAGCACCGCCGTCCTTTCCCTCCAGCGACTCCCCACCTCCTCCTGCTCCCCCAACTGCAAACCCGAAAACCCGGACCTGGTTTCGTCATGGGTTCCGTCGTGGGTATGCGGGCGACTGGCTCTTGTTGTTGTATCTTCTAATTGGCTGTGTGAATTGTGAGAAATTTTAGGAAGAGCAATGGCTCCGGGTAACGATGATGTTGATTCTTTAAGCTTGTATGAGCTTCAGCTTCTGTTGCTTCTTTAAACCCGACCCGGACCGACCCGACCCGACCCTATTTTTGGAGTATATGCTGAATAGGGTCTTGGGTCGGGGCGGGTCGGGTCAAGCGTGACCCTGTATATTCGGGTCGGGTCGGGTATAATGAAAGCCCGACCCATTGACACCCCTAGTTGTCGTCACGCCATAATTAAAGATTGTACGGACATACGTAAAATCTGGAAGACCCATGGAGAGGAAAAAGTACTGTTTACACCAAAAAGTGAAAAAAATCATGGAAATAGGCATCGGGAGCTTTGGCATCAGCAGCTTACCGATAGTTAGGTGTCAATAACAAAACGGCTTATGGATAAGAGTGGTTATTTGAACGTGGAGAGTGTCTAGAAAATAGGAAGATAATAACCACCGTTAGGAAGTTACTTTTTATTTAAAATTTAAAAGTTGTAAACGCTTGTACGAGATTATAAATATCCCAAGTTTGTATATTGTAAAGTCCCCCCCTCAACAACAGAACTCACGTTGTTTATCAGTTTATCTTTTTTTTATCTTTACATTTCCTGCACTCGTACCTTTACATTTGGCCAATGCCATTATTTTCCTGCAATTTACAAGCTTTAATTCTTTAGGAGTAGTTCTAATGCTCAGATTCACGTAGCCGAGTCGTCCTCCGATACGAATCTTCATCCTTGGTGCTTCGTCGTCGAGTCAAATCCCGACGTAGTACCGCCGCTCTTTCAAGCTTCGTCCTCGAGTCAAATTCCGTCGAAGTTTGTTTCGATAGTACTTCCTAAACTTTTCCGTCGAGTCAAACTCCGGTTTGGTTTAGGTTTGTATAATTCTACGTTGATTTTTATGATCGCTTGGATATTTCCTGTCAAATCACCACAGAACCCGTCCTTCAATTAAAAGCCGAAGATCCATTTTCGGTATTTGTTTCCTTACGGATTAAATTACGGAGAAACAAGTACAAAAAAAAGTTCTAAAATTATTGCATTGATACCAATTCAGTCCTAAACCTTTAAATTGAAACACTTTAATCATAAACATTTTCACATTGGTACTAGTATAGTCCATTCGGACAATTTAGGCCGTAAATCGTTGATGTGGACGCCTGCCAACTTATATGGTACGACTGACACTGATGTTGATATTTTAATAATTTTTTATTTGGACGAGAGCTAGCAAGCCCTAGCTAGGCGCGGGCAAGGCGGCCCTCACCAAAGTCCCGCGACCCTCGCTGGCCAAAATGAAGGAAAAAAAAAGAAAGAAAAATATTATAAAAAAAATAAAAAATAAAAAAATATATTAAAATGTCAACATCAGCGCCGGCCGTATCACGTAAAACGGCCGACATTCACCTCGGCAAATTTTTGGCCTAAATTGGCCAAATGGATTGAATTGATACCTATGTAAAAAGATTTAAGACTGAATTGGCTCAATTAAAAAGTCGAGAACTAAATTAATAACAATATAATAAGTTTAGAATTTTTTTTTTTTGTTACTTTCTACTACGGGGGCATAGTTTCGGTTAATTCTTGGACGGTTAATTCTTGGACAGTATCGCGCACTCAATGCACTGCTTAGAGCCCGACAATGGACGGCAAGTATTGATGTCGTGGGTCGCACAAGCTGACAAGTGTAGTAGGTCGAAATTACACGAATGTTGATGGTCATTTGGTCACGCAAGCTGACAAGCTTAGTAGGTTGGAATTTAATGAATCTTTCTATTGACGGTGCTAATCGGTCATGGTACTACCTGTGCCTAAGCAAAATTGCTTGGCCCTGAAAACCCACAAGAAATTATGCCATGGCCCTTTAATTAAGGTAGGGGGAAAGGCACGATACAGTGGGAGGTCTTTGTATCTCAATTGATTTATTCTCAGAAAATGAATGATTTGTAGAAAAATATTTTCCAAATCATTCACTTTCTACGAAACAAACGGAACCTTAAGGCCAAAAGGAACTTCCCTAAACTCTGTCTTACGGCAGAATGGCCGATCTGGCTCGTCCAATATGATGAACCTCATATGGGGTCACATATCTAGTCGCTCAAATGGAACGATTCAGTATCGCTAGTCGTCCTATGTGAGACACTATCACGTCCAATGATTTCCAGCAAAAATTGGCCGGAATGACTAAATTGAAATTTTGCGTAAAGATTTAGGATGTATTTGTTTTGGGGAAAAATGTTTTCCAAATAATGTTTTACCCCTTGTCTGGTTAAGAAATTTCATTTTCCTATCTTTAAGCACACGTATTTTCTTTTACCGTAAATCATTTTCCATTAATTGATCATTTTCAATAGACCAAACACGTAAAAGTCCAGAATACTAATTCGCGGAAAATACTCAAACATGCATTTTCATACTAAAAACAATTTTGACCAGACTAATTTTTAAGGTCTTGAAACTACTGAGTTCTTTGACGCCACAAGTTTTACCCATAAAATTTGAAAAGTCCAATTGATAAAGAGGTCCAAAATTCTAGCCGAAACATTCAATTCGTGCATTCAAGTACCCGAACTTATCTAATTCATGCGATGGAGCACTTCCGTTACCTTCGTCCATTTCGAGCGACAAAGAATGCCGACACGAATTCTTTTAATCTTTTTTCGAGATCATGCGGCGCCGAGAAGCCACCCGTGTCTGTAAAAAATCTCGAAAAAAGATCTGAAAAGGAAAAACCCAAGAAAATAACCCCTAAAAAAAAAAAAAACAACAACAACAACAACAGGCATGGGAGAGGCCCTCCTTCCCTCTCCCCCCTCGAAGGCCAATAACATTGCTGGGCCATGAGTTATGTGCACCAGATTATATATATATATATATATATATTTATTTTTTGTAACCGAGGTGTCCGGGCCAGCTTGCGCGCACCTCGACTATTCCTCGGGGGAGACTAACACATCAACCCACCGCTATGGCCCCCCACTTAAATCACAAGTGCTCAACTGGGGAATCGAACCTGGGACCCAGTGCGCCTAACCACACAATCCCAAGTACGCCCTAACCAACTGAGCTACCCATGAATGAGTACCAGATAATAGTTTTGTTTTTCAATCTGCCGCAAAAAAAATAAAATAAAGATAGCATATTCCAATTTCGTCCATGAATAGATACCTTCCCTCTCGCATTGTTTTTTTTTTTTTGGAGCATTTTCTTTTGTTCCGCAATCGCAAACCTCTAATGGACGGGAAGAAAAGAGGTCAAACATCCGCATAGTGCCAAAACAACTGGTTGTATCGTATTAATGAACAAAGTTGGGCTATTATATCAACCTTCGCATTGACGAAATCCCAAATAAAAAAGAATATATTATTTCGAAGGAGTGGGAGACTTTTGATTAATTATTCAAAGTGAGAAAAAGCATCCGCCTATTTAGTTAATAAAAAGGGGAAAATCAAGAACTGATTCGCACTCGCAAAAGAAAGAAACAAATAAAAAAAAAAGAGAGAGAATAGAAAAATAATCGCAAAAGAAACAGCTGCGACAATACGACGAACAACCGACTAAGAAGTAAGATGTCTAAAGAAGAAAAGCTGGTTTTGCCCGCCACTTCGGCAGTGGGACCATCTCGATGTGGGACTTTTGCCTTCCGGGTTCAGGTCAACCCGACTCGTTGATGAGATTTTATAAGCTTGAGGAGCATCTCAGACGTAGGTAGTACATTGCATCTTATAGATTTAGGGGAAAATGCCGAAAAAATCATAAACCTACTACATTAATACCAATTCAGTCTTAAACATTTTTACATTGGTACAAATTCGGTACATCTGGCTAATTTAGGTCGGAAGTCGCTGACGTGGACGTTGGCCGTCGTATGTGACACGATCGGCGCTGACGTGGGCAAATTTTTTTTTTTTTTTTGAATTTTTAATATTTTTTGTTGTGCCACGTAGGACGGCCGGCGTCCACGTCAGCGATTTCCGGCTTAAATTGGCCGGATGGACTGAATTTGTACCAATGTGAAAAGGTTTAGAACTGAATTGGTCCAATTAAAAGGTTTAGAACTAAATTGGTATCAATGCAATAGGTCTAGGACTTTTTTTGTACTTTTCCCCGTAGATTTATTCCTAATGATGTATTTATCCTAAACTAATTTTCTTCTAAAAAAAATAAAAAATTCAAACATGTACCTCTTGTCCTAATCTTCCCTCCGTTACCATTTTATCCAATATTTCGTTAAAAAGCATATGTGTTAACACGAATTACAGACAGCTGCAAGACCAAAAAAAAAAGAAAAAATTTATGAAGAGTAACAATTTCGACGTGGAAAATTCACCCGTGCTGACATATATGCATTCTAACGGAGGATGGATTTGGGTAAGGTGTACCAGTTTGGAATTTCTTGCGAGACGAATATTAATTGGGGGTAAATATGTCACGAGGCAATAAGTTTGGTACTTTTAATGGTATTGACCATTTAACTTTTATCTAATGCGAAATATCTAAAATCTATCAAAATACACGAATATTGAGATGTTAAATAATATAATTTTCTATGCAATTGTGAGATTTAATATAATTTTCAATTTAAAATAAATTTGAATTCAAAAGCAGTAAGTAATACTCAACAAACAGACTAGTCAATTATCTCTGAAGTCGATATTGGACTGCAATGTCAAAGTCGATTTCCCAAATTCAGCCTCTCTGTACGGCCCTCTCTTGGAGATCATGTCCTTTCGTTTCGATTCGCTATTAAATTTCCACCCTAGCCGACATTATTCTTCCGTAACGAGGAAGACCACCAAGATAGGTTAATTTCGAGCTCGTAAATTACCTTACCAATTCCACGGATCGAGCAAAACACGAGTCGATGGTCCGGTAAAAGGCTCAAATATAGAATCGTTTCGCATCGATCGATAAGAGAAATCAAATCCGTGTCGTGTCCTCAATCCATCGTACATATGCGCTGTAATCAACTGGAATCGCGAGCTGCGTGCGAACGAAAAATTAGATAAGTTGACTCTTTCTCCACGTCCCCGAGATCAAGACGTGTTTTTGCTTGATCGCTTATTAGATCCCGCTCCTCGTGCTTATCGAGATTAGCGACACGGTTAAGTTACCGTTGCCTAATCGGTATCGGATGATGAGTCCCCAGGTCGTTTTCACGACCCCGGTTTTGATGGCTTGTCGCGAAAAGCTGCTTTGGATAATCACTAAATTTAGAAGCGACCTCCCCTAATTAGGAAGGGAACCACATAGCGTGTCGCTCTGGGACAAGGGAAATCCTTATCCCTCCTCGCAGGCGTTATCCCGCGCGTACTAGTCAGAGCCGAGTCAACAAAGTCTGCTTTGACTCGTATCTGGGACTTTCCCAACCTCCCTTCCCCCTCTCTATCCGGTCGGACACGAGAAAACGCGCACCAAATCCCCCGTTCCACCTATCATCGTTCGACACGTGGCCGCTTGGCCCTCACGTCCGACGGCAACACGGGGACCGCTACGCCCCTCCCGAATGACCATTTTGCCCCTGCCGGGCCACGCGGTCCGTTGTCACGGCAGGCGCAGCGAAAAGGGAGAAGGAACTGGATGCAGACGATAAAAGCACCGTGGCCCTCGCCTTCCCTATAAAAGGGGGCCTCTCTGTTCTTCCCGTGAGAAGAGCGTAAAAGACGCATTCTAGCCCATCATCTTCTTCCCGTTCCGACCGCTTCCCCTCTCCTCGGACACCTTCCCCCTAATCTTCCTTTTTGTCAGATCTGGCTCACCGTCAGGAAACTCTGGAGGAAGGAGATCCCGGCCATTGCGGCGTCGTACGCGCCCTCTACGAAGCCCTGCGCACCCGCGACGTGGGGACGGTCCACCGGATCGTAGCTCCCGACCTGGAGTGGTGGTTCCACGGTCCCCCGGCGGACCAGTTCTTGATGCGCCTCCTCACCGGAGCGCCCGGCTCAACCTCCGACGGCAGCTTCGAATTCGTCCCCGACTCGGTCACCTCCGTCGGGTCCATCGTCCTCGCCGAGGGCTGCGACCAGAATCGCTCCATCTACTGGGCCCACGCCTGGACCGTCGCCGATGGGATAATCACGCAGGTGCGGGAGTACTTCAACACGTCCCTCACCGTCACGCGCCTCGGGGGCGCGAGCAGGTCCTCCTCGCCGCCGCCGCCGTCCTCCTCCGCCTTGGGGTCCGAGATCGCTCCTGCTTCGGCACCGGCTCCGGGCTCTCAGCACTGTCCGTCGATCTGGGAGAGCAGCCTCTCGAATCGGGTCGGGAAGTCCGTGCCCGGCCTCGTCCTGGCGATATAATAAAATCCCCGATCGAACTCGACCGACCTCTCGCGTGATCCAGTGCGGCCGTTAGTAGCAGAAAATAAAAGTCGCGCGCGTGGCAGCCGTCGGTTGCTTTTGGTCTGAAGGATGTGAGCCGTTGGTTCGCCCCCCTTCGTCTATATATTTGTGATTGCGTAATTTTAAATTCGAGTGTCTTGTCGTTTCTGTTTAGCTGTCGTGTCGTTTTGGGGCCATGGGTGGAACTGTGATGGAGAAGCCCATTTGGTCTTTGTCGTATCAGGATTTGTCGGATGCGTGGAGTCGTCATGGTGTAATAAAATCGTGTGCCTTTGCGAGCCTTGTAAACCTCGTGATCAATATATATATTTTTAAATTGAAATTTGTAGTAAATATTGGCATTTTGCATTTGGGTGTGATGGTTGTGCAGAAAATGAATAATTATAAAAATATTTTTTGAAAAATAATTGCTTATATCATTTTAAAAAATAAATGAAAAAAAATTATTGACCATGAAAAATATTTTTTTTTTGCATAAATTGTTATTTGACGATGAAAATATTTTTCATTGACTAATTTTTTTAAACGATATAAGCATTCATTTTTCGGAAAATATTTTTCAAATCATTCATTTTCGACAAACGAACGCATCATTAATTTCATCATTTTTGTTAATTTTCTTGGGATTTTGTGATTCCTTAGAAATTTGTTTCCTTTGATTTGAAGCATGGGGTTTCGTGATATTGCACGCAACATCCAGACAAGCAAAATTGGCTTCCAATGCTACTCTCACCCACCAAACCCCCTCTTTCAATTTCGTTTTACTTTCCTGTGTATTGTTTCCCTTTGAATTTGTCTTAAAAAATATACTCTTTATATACTTGCCACTAATTGATATACAAAATATAGTATTACAGCGCATCACATCATACGAGAATACAACTTAACCTCGACTTAAAATAAATATATTTAAGTTTACATTACAGTGCACTTAATTCAATATTTACTACATGCGTTGTTTACTCTTAGTTTGAAAAGCAAAGTGTTTCATAATAACCGTATCAATATCACAATCGAATCTATCAATTTTATGTTATTCTGGCGTCTTTTGACTTATTTATGTGCTTCCAAGCTTATCAGATAAGAAGGAGTTGCATTTTTTTTTTCACGAAATGTAGGTTATTAACTAGCTACATCTCATATGTAGATTATTAATGTAAATAAGAGGTGTCTCAAACTTTTTTAACGATATCTCGAGTTTAGAAAAGTTTCGTCGAAAATGGTCAAAGAAAAAGATTATGCTAAATGTATATCCACACTAATCTCACTAATAGAGTAATTCTTTTTTACGATAAGTTTGTTGCAAATTACCGAATATTCTTCTGACAAAAACAACAAAAACATGAATTCATTATAAATCGGTCGTTTTCTTACATTTAGATGTTTGTTAAAAGATTGTTCATGTTAGATCTTTTTATCACAAAAAAATTTACTAAAATAACTGTACGCATTACTAGTTTCGAAAACACCTATGTAAATGCAAGGAAAAACCTCAGACAAATTTTTTGATGAAACAGAACCTTTTGACAATTTCTTGCGTGTTCCTTATGTGCTGATGCTACCTCAGCGGACATTTTTTGGGGTTTGTGATGGGATCTTCGCGGCAAGATAGTGTAGGGTTCCTCTAGTGCTAAAAACGCAGCGGAATCTATAAATCGAAACCTTAGACAGGATCCATGCGTATATTAAAATCTAAACAGTAGTTCGACACGTACCTTTTGCAGATCGAAAGTAAATTGACAATCGATTGTGTCTAGATTAGCGCCCCAAGTGTTGCGCCTCTACCGGTATCCACACACACGAACGGAAGTCTCCAACGATCCAAGTGCTAGCTAAAGATCTTGGACTTCTTTTTCCTGATCGCCTTTGATCTTCGAGACTCTCTCAAAGATCTCTGAACAGAGAACGATTCTCTTCGTATTCTTTTAGAGGCGTTTTTTTTTTCTCTCTTAGGGTTTTTCGTCACCCACACGCTATATATATATAGAGCCTCATTATCTACGCGAATTAAAAGAAGTGGGGCCAGGCGATTTGGGCCTGCCAAATTGTCCACCTTGAATCGTACGTTTAATCGTTATCTCATAACGTGCAGGACCGCCTAGATAAGTTGAATAGGAGAATAAATTAAAATCTACTTCTTATTTTAAGTAGATCCCGACGCACACAAAATATTAACTCAGTTCGCTATTGTGTGCGACCCTGTAGGTTCATTAAACATTAGTAGTGTGCTCAAAACCCTTTTTGGCCCACAAGTCATAAGCGGTCTCTAGCAAGACATTATGACTACCAAAGTATAGTGAAGGTCGGTTTTCCGACACAACCTAATCCATAACTAATATTAGAGTATCAACCTTGATTGATTCCTAGGTCAGACCACTAACAGATAGGTACTGCGTGAGCGTGACGGGGGAGATACGTTATGTCAATGTAATTTCCACGAACCGAAGTTTCAGACTTAAAGGTCAACAGAACAACCAACCATTGAAGTTGATATTAGCAAAATCTCTCACTGTAAATTAATCATTTTACCCGAAGATGATTTCGATGTAAAACATTGTCGGTCGACATGTAATTTTTCATGAAAGCAACCCGGGCTTTGGGTTTCGGAACTTGGGTTGGTTTCGCAATCGTTTTTAGAAAATTATTTTTCAAATTATTTATTTTCCGCTAATCAAACGGAGTCTCTCGTAGGGTTTTGAAATTCCATACTCTATTCCAAGGGTAGTTGAGTGGGCCTTACACAGATATCAATTTGTCATTGTCTTGCTAATCATGTCCGAATACTGGCAGTGGAAAATTCTATATGGAATTCATCATAAGAGAATATGTGGTGGAGCATATTCCATTATCTTTTTTCGCCCTATATTTTATATATGGACTATAGCACGTTTGGTCTATCTATAATTGAATTATAGATTAGATCGTAAACTATCACAACTCGTACATTTGATTATATATGTTCTAACACTATAGCACGTGAAAGGTAAACTTTATAAAAGCTGCTATAAACTATGGCGGCTTTAGAGATGCCGCCGCCTCGAGGGGTTTGTCAAAGACCTTTTGAAAGTTGGAGCTCATCTCGTCACCGCCGAAACGTCGGGATTAGGGTTTCTCTGCCGAAAGAATGTTAAGGATGAGAAAAGAGAAGCTGCTTTTTGCGGGGAAAACAAAGGGGGTTTTGGGTCTGGTCCATGTTGAGAATGTCCAGGGAAGCATATGTTATCTCGTATTTCATGAAGATTATTCCACGCATCTTGCATGAAGCACTACTCCCTCGTTGTCCTGTCCGTTTCTCACGTTCGAATCTCGGAAAAGCGTTGTGCGCGAATGTTTGCTGTGACGATCAAGTTGAGAGAGAATCATTCATCACCAAATCACTTAGATTTTTCACGCTCTTTTTCCTGGCAGATTTATCTTTCCAGTCGTTAAATTTATGCACGAAAAAAGGAACTCAACCTTGGGCAGATGACCTTGGGAAAGAAAAAATCTAATGGCTTGTCCATTCTTGCTCATGGAAAACATCAACTTCAATTCAAAAGTTAGTGGGAGATGATTGTCGCGGAGTGTTACCCTGATAAGATCATTGATAAACCTACCATTATCAGCGATACCTGTTGAAGTTTCGCCTTCGTGGTGTCGAATCAAGCCCCCTATGCCATGGCTGTGTGGAGGAGTCCGACGTTCGTCGACAGGCACAAGTCTGACGTTCCTCGACAGGCACGAAAGCGATTGCGATTATCTCCCATTCCTAAAACTCTACTGTTGGCGTTGGAAAAAGCTTGAGGCATCGAAGCGTCATGTGGAAAATGCTATTGTTGTCCGTATGTTCTCGATAGAAAATCTTGGTCACGTCACCCTCGCAGTCGCTCAATCAGGAGTGACCTAACTTTTGAGGTTGAAATGCTTCTAATCACGGTGGAGAATGACAAAAACAAACATAAATGAAAAGAAGAAAAAAATAATAATAAAAAGTTAGGTCACTCCTTATACGCTTCTTCTCATGAGTGATTGACCTCGCTGGCCCACAGTTTGGAAAAGAAGGAGAAAAAATAATTTTTTTTTAAATACACATAATAGCCGTCGCTGACTAGATCGTACATCAGCAATTTAGGCCAAAATTATCAATAATGACTATATTGACAAATCGTCAAAAGGTTTAAAACTAAATTGATAAATCGTCAAAAGTTTTAGGACTAAACTGACACAATTAAAAGGTTTAGAACTAAATTGACCAAATTAAAAGGTTTAGGACTAAATTGACCAAAAAAAGATTGGCTAAATTGAAAGGTTTAGGACTGAATTGGCATAACTATAATAGGTTTATGACTTTTTTGGTAATTTTCTTGGAGAATGAGAAAGATTGGATGACAGTCCCCCTTAGCAACATGGAAGTGCTGCCAAATAAAAATTTAGATTTCACCGAATTACCCGGTTTTCTTAATCATTTCTTGAGGTTTCCTCTTAACATGCACTGATTTTTTTTTCCAAATATTTAGACAAATTCTAAGTTTGAACTCCTTCGTTAGTATCGCGCAATTATTTTCCCTAGCAAACGAAAGCTTTTGCTATCGTCGAGGGAAAAGAAAAGATGAAAGAAAAGGGGAAATTTTTGAATTTGAAGTTTTTGTAAGTTGATGAAGGATAAGAATATCCCAAGACTTCAAGTGGGGAATGTTTACTTGTTAACAGTGAGTCATGGGAATTTGTTCTTTTGCAGCCCAAAAGTTTGGATGGTGAACATACCCATGATAGGGCTTTGAGAATACCTTTTGATCTGCCACTTCGCATTTCGCCCACTAGCGTACAAATTAATGCCATTCTTCTGTTTTCAAGTTCTTGGTGATTTGGATAGGGAATTCATGAAGAAGGCTTGCCCTCTTTCTTTGCTCATCATCTAGTTTTGTATGGGTGAGTTTGGGAGAGATTTGGGGAAATGCTAAATCATTTTCCAAAAAAATCCTTAACTCAAGGTGTATTAGCAAATGCCGTTCGAATAATTGAGTTTTAGTGTAATTCTTGTCAATCAACTTTGAAGAGAAAAGGCAAAAAGAGAGGGCCAACAGAGAAGCAACAGGAGCTTCCTTCTTGTCGGCACCACCCCCTTCATCATTCTCATCATCCTCTCGAGCTTCCTTGTCCGGATCCGACTCCATGTGGATCTTCTTCCTTTGAGCCTCTACAGCCGACGAAGAAGTGTCACCCTATGCCTCGGGGCTACTGTCGGCCTCCGCCTCACTCCCCTTCATTGCATTCAAAATCGTCTGCTTTATGTTCAACAAGCTCGTCATGACGATGAACAATAACTCAGGGCAGAAAAGAATACACAAATATTAACAATGGCAAGATTGGAAGGAAAATTTATTTTCGTTAAACTTTTTTTTTTTTTGGTCATAATTTTCGTTAAACTTGACAGCAGCATTTTCGGAATGCTGAAAGCCAACGCTGGTCCCAACTTGCATTGGGCTTTCAACATTTACAAGGCCGAACTTTGGCCTCAATGCTTTTGTGATTTTGTTACCAAAGCTAAGCTGTGCCAAAGGCAGCCCGATACAATTAGACAATATTAGACAAGCGAAAGCTTCAGGTAGTGACATGGAGCCATTCCCTTGTTCATACAAAAACTAAAAATCCTCTTTCCTTACACGTTAAACAGCCTTATTGTGTTTAATTTTGCACCCTGCCCATTACAAATCCTCTCTTCAGGAAGAAATAATGGCCCAAAAGCTTCATGGGGCTCTCGCAGGGAGCCTAATGTACACAATAAATTTGGGCCTGGCCCCCACACCAGAACACAGCCTCATAAGGATGGATTCATGTAGATAATCCCTAGGCATATGCGCTTCTTCCTAGTGAAGCAGTTTTAAGAGGATAATACTTTCGAAAAAACCATTCCCTAAAAACCATATTTCTGAACTACAAATTGTTGATATCACCACAAACTTACTTAAATTAATCTCGGGCGATGTCTATGTTTGTAATCTACTAATCAAAGTGGCTGAAGGGAGTTTCATTTGATCAAGGTTGAACGAAAGTACGATCCATTTTAAAAAACACGACCAGTTTGGAGTCTAAATTTCATTTTTTTCCTTATTCTTTTGCATGGTATGGACTCTTAAAACTTCCGCGGACATTTGCTCTTATCAAACAAGCGGCTCAAATGAGGAATAAGTCGGTCCATCATCTTGTACTCGGCATGTATCTCTTGCTCGTGGAGAAAAATGATTTTGACATAGCTTCATAGGCGATTACTATAGAACGAGGCAGGCGATGAAGTTGTATAGGATACACGATCTACTAAATAACACTGCTTAAACGATTTATAGAATGAATTTGTAGTACGTGATTGGGTACTTTGTTACTAGCATTAATCATTTGTCAAGAAAAGCACTAATAATTTGAACAGTGATCGTGCCAGCCAGAGTTGGGCTCCACCAACATCGCTGCATGCAGCCACAGCCGTTGAATGGCCATTCCACCACCGCGGCAATTCAGTAGCTTTTGCCGACCCTTGCATCGTGAAAGCTATGGACAAGTCAACAAAGAAGCAACGGTAAAGAAGCTTTTTAGCGAAAGAAAATGCCCACCATCATTTCAATCGCCTACGTAAAGCATCCAGTTCTTCACTTCACCCTCTACCGTTGCCTTCACTTCGTTTAAAACCCGAAACCCACATCGTTCGTCTTCCTCGGCTTAACGGGGGATTCAATTCAGCTCCGCAAATTTCCACCACCAGTCAGTCGAACGAATGACGAACGTACGCAAATTTTCACCACCAGTTACATGTTACTTTTTTATTACTCTTCCCCCTACGAGGGCTTGAATGATGGGCGGTCTTTTGTTTCTTGTGTTCTTGCGCATAGGTGGTGGAATTGAAGGTCGGTCTGCACTGCGAGGAGTGCATCAAGAAAATCCTCAAAGCAATTAAGAAGATGGAAGGTAATTTCGCGTCGAGCGGTAGAAACATGCTCTGACATGACAGATTCTTGTTTTGCTTTGGAAGCAGCCGAGACACTTCGCTTGTGTGAATTTGCAACTTGCAGATGTCGATACTTATGATGTGGACATGGAGCTGAACAAGGTGACCGTGACCGGAAACGTGACGTCGGAGGCGGTGATCAGAGCGCTTCAGAAGATCGGAAAGCAAGCCAGTAGCTGGGGATCGGGAGATCAAGCTACTTAAAACTAACGGAGCACAGGTTCGCGCTAGGATCAACCGATGGGGCCAATCTCCAGACTCCAGGTAAAACAAGAGGGGATTAAACGAGCTTCATGGTCATGAATGGTTGAAATTCGAAGTTGTACGCTAGTTATTCGCCATCTAGAATCAGATCTGCTTGTGAAGAACCGTGTACATACGCGGTCTCCTTGTATCCGATGATCGAATTTTCCAATTTTTTTTCCCGATTTTCATTGGTGAATTCAGTACATATTCCATTCGCATGATCTAAAACAACACAGTCAGAAGACGAAACCTAGACCGGAAACACAAGAAGTAGCCAAGACTCTATTTACAGTAGCAGTAAGACGCAATGGCAGAAATCAAATTCAATTCACAGCTAAAACACAATGAACTCGACTCGGTCTTCCAACTACACCCAGTGAGTCGAACCTCTAGCGCGGCTGCTGAATCGTTTTGGGGCTCACCCTCACGTTGTTCACGATCTTCGGCGCCTTCTCCGCGTACCTCGGCGCGTGCGCCTCACGTCGCGCCTCCTTCCACTTCAACCCTCCAATGGAAACCAGATCCCCGCAACACCCTCTTCCTTCCTCCTTTCCATCTGAAAAAAACAGCAAAAAAACCACTTCTTTCAGCTTTTTCTTCCGACCCAACACACGAAAATGAAATGGTCGGATCCGATGTCGCCAAAGTTTTGGGCTTTTGGGTTTCGAGTACTCACGGTCGAGGAGGGTTTGATCGTAGTCGTCGTCGAAGAGAGAGTCGAGGTCGTCGGGGAGGGCGAAATCGTCGACGGCGGAGAAGAGAGGGTCGTCCTGGGGATCGCAGAAGCGCTCCTCGAGCCAGTAGTCGCGGAACCACGGCGAGGTCTGGACCAGGGCCCACCACTCGTCGGAGAAGTCCTCCACCGTCCGGTACGCCATCGGCACGAACAGCGGGGCGTTGGGGTTCAGCGTGGAGGAGGTCAGAAGGGGGCTTGTCCTCGAGATCACGTCCATCGCCACTTCAATGCTCGGCACACGAAACGGAACCAGTCACAAAGCGCTCGGGAGCGGTTACAGAGAATCGGAGGACAAGGAACGAGAAAGCTTCAAAGGCTAAAGAAGATAATGAGACGGACGGACTGTATGGTGTCCGCGAGACCACCTTCCTTATATATACAATCGAGTTAAAAATGAAAACTTTATTCAATGGGCAGCCCACAGATATGAGAGAGAGAGAGAGAGAGAGATATGATTTTTTTTTTCTTTTTCAATCCACTACTAAAATATCAACATACCATCGACAAATAAGAAAAGTAATTAATACCACGAAGAGCTCTAAATTGATATATTTGTGATAATTTTATCAAAAATTAATTTTTTGATCATGAAAAATTTTAAACTGGTACACATGTGACAAATTTATCCTAAATTAATATTTTAACCACCAAAATCCCCGAATTAGTACATTTGTGACAAATTTACCCTCCGTTAGTTTCCTTTAAATTGAATTAATATCACAAAAAATCATAAATTGGTACGCATGTGACAAATGGAGAGTAAAACATAAAATTGGTACATTCGTCAATTGCCACATGTCATTTAACAAAGCAATTTGACAGTGAAATATAACTGAAATAAACTGAGGATAAATTTATCACAGGTGTACCGGTTTGGGGTTTTTTGTCGTCAAAAAATTAATTTTGTGTAAAATTGTCACAGGCGCACCGGTTTGAGGTTTTTCGCGGTATTAACTCTAAGAAAAATCCCAACACTGGCATATGGATCGTATGAGCTCGACACATATGAACCGTTCGAACCACGGGAATTTTGATAGCTAACATGTATTGATATCGTATAAATCCAGCGTATACGGTCATATTTTCAATTCTAATTTTTAATCCCGGGATTAGTAAATTGAACGCGCCTATGAAATATGGCCGGATAGGCTCTCTTTGATAAGTTCTATTAGCCTGTCCTCTTATAGCTCTATTAAAAACAAATATAATGCACGCCTAAATATAGGATAGTATAGGCAATAGACAAAACTGTTTTTCCTTTTCTGGGAAAGAAAGCTGATTTTTTCTTTTTGTCACTGGTAAGAGAAACAAAAAGTTATTTCAAATACAGGCCAACATATCCATTAAAGGACAAAACGATCAGATAATGCACTGGATAAGGTCGTTTAGAACCTCTGTGACCAAAACAAAAAAAATAAAAAGAAAGAAAGAAAAGTCGTTTAGACCTCTACACCGCGGGGGTCCCCCACGTGCAGCGAGTGGGTGTGTGTGGGGCCCGGCGCCGGCGGATGGTCTCAGGAAAATGCCGGTGCACCTGCACCTGCGCCGCACTCAGTTTCCCCCTGGCGGGATGCCGCCGCACGCGGTATCAAGAATAAAATTCCGGCTTATTAAATATCCTTAATTTCCTCGTCCTTTTTTCTTTCGGAAATATTAAGATACTTATCGAGCATTTTCTGGAGCATTTGATGACGCGTCCTTTGTTTTATTAAAGTATATAACGAAACAGGATGTGCAACACTATTCCTGTTTATGAAATAGCCAACCGGGAGTCAGATCAGATGGACGAGATTATGGCAACTAATCGCCACGTGATCTCGTGTTTTTCTTTGTTCCTATCCCCATCATAGATATTAGCGAGGATGCGTTTCCCCCCACGTGACGCGTCATCGTTCTCATCCGTTCGTCACGTGGCTCCGTGTCGGAAGAAAAGGAAAAGCCGCGCGGGTCGATGGGAACATCACCATAGTATCCCTCTTCCCCAATATAATTAAATAGGTAATAAATATTAGGAAAAATGTCACCAAAAAACTCTAAATTATGTCACTTATGACATATTTACCCTGAATTTTTTTTTGTGGCATAAAAAATCCAAAACTACGCCATTTGTGATAAATTTACCCTGAACTTTTTTTTTATGACACGAAAAATTCAAAACTATGCCACTTGTGATAAATTTACCTTGAACTATTTTTTATGACACGAAAAACTTCAAACTATGTCACTTGTGACACATTTACCACACAATACTTTGACCCATGGGCATTTTCGTCTTTTTCCTTTTTTCTTTATTCCTTTCTTATCCGGCGGAGGGAAGCCGGCGAGGGCGGTCCTCGCCAGCGGCGGGTGGGGCGAGGGCTGCCCTCGCCGGATGTAGCGAGGACGACCCTCGCCGGCGTCGAGCGAGGGCGACCCTCGTCGGCGTCGGGCGAGGGCTGGCCTCGCCGGATCTGGCGAGGGCCGCCTCGCCTAACGCCGACGAGGGTCGCCCTCGCCAGATCCGGCGAGGGCAGCCCTCGCCCCACCCACCGCCGGCGAGGACCGCCCTCGCCGGATAAGAAAGGAAAAAAAAAAGGAAAAAGACGAAAATACCCATGGGTCAAAATATTGTGGGGTAAATGTGTCACAAGTGACATAGTTTGGAGTTTTTCGTATCATAAAAAAAAGTTCAGGGTAAATTTGTCACAAGTGGCATAGTTTGGAGTTTTTCGTGTCACAAAAAAAAGTTCAGGGTAAATGTGTCACAAGTGGCATAGTTTAGGGTTTTTTGTGGCATTTTCCCTAAATATTAACAATTATATATAGGGGTTCCTATTATTTGCATGAATCTCGAATTCTATGACCCTGTTTGCTTGGAAAGTTCCTACATTATTTTGATCAGCAAGAGTACAGTAAATGCTATATGCTAATGAATTTGCACGAAAAATATATTCTCTGTTCGTCACCCAATTATTGCCGGGTCACTTGGCACGCTCTAATCGCGATGGCAGCGATGCATGATGCATCAGTCTATTAGAAGAGAGTTTCAAAGTAGGACATAACATCGCATATGGAGGGATTGTATGTAGGGTGAGTATGGTCAAAGGACTGGTTCTGAAAAATTATAACCGGACTGCAGGTTTGGTTTCATTTCGGTCCACAATCCCTACAAATTCACAACCAGACAAGACAAGAGCGAGAGCCTGATGCCAGATATGAGGGAGGGCCGGAGGCGAGGCACGAGATGATTGTGAATCTATGACAAAGTTGAAGGCGTGGCCGCATAAGACTCTCACGGTGAGAGTGAGATGAGGTTAAGATTTCTTCCTTTTGTTTCAATTTTGAGGATCGCGACACAAGTAGGATTGTGGCAAAAAGCAAGCAAGAAAGACTCACTTTCATTAAAAGTGAGTTGGAATTTTTTCTAAATATATATATTGGCTTGGTCCAGGTGGCAGGTGGACCATTCTATGCCTGGAATAGGGAATTGGACCGGTACTCACTAATTTCAGTAAATTGAAATCGAGAATTGGCAGTTTCCATGGCCGGTCCGATCTAATTCCGGGCGGTCCGGACAGTTCTTGGTTTTTCTTCACACCTCTAATTATGTGTACAAGACCTTGCATAATTGTGCACCGTGTAGATATCTATTTAGTTATTGTCTTAGGTCATCAAATGCTAGGACTCGATTCGATGAGGATAGATGTCTATGTTGAGCTTTAGAGGCGTAACACTTGAAAGTGAAAGCCTCGATTGTTGGTAACTATTGTCGGCAACTCTTGAAGGTGAACGACTTTAATTGGTAACTCTCAAGGAAAAACACTAAAAGAGAGGAGAGGAATAAACTATTTTATTATAACTTGATTCACCTTACAAATACTTCAACTAGACTTGCCTTTATATAGGCATAATACATGACTTTTGATATGACGCATAAATGACTATATATGTATATGATATTAACTAGATATCGAAACACGAAAGGTCAAGATCAAATATAAACAATCACATTAACTAGTCATTGAAATACGAAAGGTCAAGACTAATCAAGAAAGATCTAGAGAGATGAGGAGGTGATATCTTCAATACTCCCCCTCACCGACTACTCTCTCTTAGGACAGATTTTGAAACCATACCAAGTTGAGTCCGAAACTCTTCAAATTTCACAGCTGCAAGTCCTTTGATGAAGATGTCTGTGGATTGATCACTTGTCTTGGTGTACTCCATCTTTATCTCTCCCTATAAAACTTTTTCCCGCAAAAAATGATATTGTACTTTCACATGCTTAGTCCTCGCATGGAAAATTGGATTCTCTGCCAAGCTTATTGTTGATAGATTATCACAGTGTAACCGTGGTGAGTATTCAATTGGTTGATGAAGATCTTCCATTAGTTGTACGAGCCACGTACTCTCTTGAGCTGCCATTGCCGCTGCTCTATATTCAGCTTCCGTAGTAGATAGTGAAACAGTCGACTGCCTTTTACTACACCAGGACACCACCACTGATCCGAGGCTAAACATGTATCTAGTAATTGATCATCATGTATCACGATCTCAAGCAAAGTCAGCATCGCAATGACCTACTAATTCAGACAATGCTTCTTTCTTATACAGGAGCCCAAAGTCAAATGTACCATTTACATACCTTAATATGCGCTTGATTGCATCCAAGTGAGACTTTCGTGGTTTCTCCATGAATCGGCTTGCTACTCCCACCGCGAAGGCAATGTCAGGTCGTGTTATGGTTAGGTATATAAGGCTACCCACCAATTGCCTATATGTAGTTAAGTCTTCTAGTTCTCGACCTTCATCTGCACATAGCCTTACATTTCCATCCAGTGGAGTAGAAATAGGCTTGCAATCAAGCATCCCAAACTTTTCTAGGAGATCTCAGGTATACTTTTGCTGACATAGGAATAGACCATCCTTTGTCTGCTCAACCTCGAGTCCTAGAAAATGTTTCAGTTCTCCAAGTTCTTTCATCTCAAATCGCACTAAGAGATTGGCTCCGAGTTAACGCATCTCTTCTACATCATTTCCAATGATGATTAGATCATCCACATAAGTTAATACAATTGTAAGCCTACCATCTTTTGCCTTCACAAACAAGCTCGAGTCAACTGGTAACTTTGCACCAAGAATTTAGCAATCTTCCCGTACCATGCTCTTGGGGCTTGCTTTAAGCCATAAAGAACTTTCTTCAACTTGCAAACGTGATTTAGATAAGCCTTGCTCGTGAAACCATCCGACTGCTTCATGTATATATCTCGATCTAGTTCTCCATGCAAGAAAGCGTTCTTCATGTCCATTTGCCATAACTTCCATGACTTGCTTGCTGCAAGTGTTAATAGGATTCGAACTGTGGTAACCTTTGCTACCGGGCTAAAGGTTTCATCATAATCTAGGCCATACTTTTGCAAAAAACCTCAAGCAACCAATCTTGCCTTATATCGTTCTATTGACCCATATGATCGAGTTTTAATTTTGTAAATTCACTTGCAAGATATAGGACATATCTCTTTAGGCTTTGGCGCCAAATCCCACGTCCCGTTCTTCCTTAGTGCTTGGAACTCTTCCTCCATGGCCTTCCTCCATTGCGAGCTGTATGAGGCTTCCTCCATTTTCAGTTAATGCTGCATTTGCATATTTGGGATTTGGTTTCTTTTGCCTCGTTGATCTTCGAAGTTGAGGTTTTTGCTTTTCAGGTTCTTCTACCGGACATAGTCGAAGCTCTTCTGTCATTCTCGGATGTACACCAGTTCGCCATGGACTCTTTGAATTTTCTGGTGACAATGCTTCGACTTGTTCTCCTCCGACTGCAGGTTCATTTTCATTTTCAATCGGCTGATGCTTTTCGAACTCATCATTTTCTGTCATCCTTTCATGAACCTCTTCTTCGATTTGCTTTGAATTTGGTAATTCAACAGCTTGTGATGACCACCATGATGATAGTTCGTCGAACACCACATTTCTGGAAGTGTAACATCTCCCTTTTGTAGGATCACAACACTTCCATCCTTTCCGTTGATCATCGTAGCCCACAAATATGCAGCGAACTACCTTCTTATCGAATTTGTTGCGTAAATGATATGGTACAAATGCATAGCATACGCATCCAAATACTCTAAAATGACTTACCGTGGGCCTACGATTTCATAGCTTCTCATATGGCGACAAAAAGCCAAGCCTTGCTTGAGGTAGTCTGTTGATCAAGTGCGCGTTGTTTTCATACATTCGGCCCAAAATTTAGGTGGAACATTCTTTGCATGTAGCATGCTCCTGCAGGTCTCTGCAAAATGCCGATTCTTTCTCTCGGCAACTCCGTTTTGTTGTGGCATATGCGGACAAGTAAATTGTCAACGTATCTTGCAATCTTGCAAATACTTTGTGAAGTCATGAGAAGTAAACTCTCCCCCATTATCAGTACAAAAGCACAATATTTTCTTGCCTACTTTTCTTTCCACTTTTTCTCTAAACTGCTGAAATTTGTTAAATGCCTCAGATTTTTCCTTCATAAAATCAATCCAAACGTACCTGGAAAAGTCATCAATGAACGTTATCATGTACTTTGATCCTTTGACTGATGATTGCTTTGCCGGACCAAATACATCTGAGTGGATGAGTTTGAGAGGCATATTGGTTCGAAATGCGGACTCCTCGTGTGGAAGCTTATGTGCCTTCCCGTATTGGCATCCAACACAAACTACATCTTCTTGAACTTCCATGTGAGGGAGACCCTTTAGCATGTCTTTCTTCATCATCACCTTCAACTTATGGTAGTTTACATGGCCAAACCGTGCATGCCACAAATCAGGTGTATCACTCTTTCGAGTTTTGTCTATGTACGCCGTCTGTGCTGACATCACGTAGATGGACTCGAGTCGACGCCCCTCCATGATTGGTATACCAGTGGGTTTCACATCGTGGTACACCTCAACGTCTTTTGGACCAAACACCACATAATTTCTTGAGTCTGTAAATTGAGACATAGACAGTAGATTTTTTTTCATCCCCGGCACATGATACACATTTGTTAGCTCAAACTGATGTGAACTGAATTGGGGTGTTATCACCGTTTGGCCAACATGAGTAATCAGCAACCTTGAGTTGTCCGCAGTGACAACTACTCGCGCACCAGTGTACTCGGACATATTTGTTAGCTTGCCTTGATCTCCGATCATATGATTTGAACACCCTGAATCAACTATCTAATCAATATCATAATTGATCGATTTATCACTTACCGTGATGAGAGCTGTTGCATCTTTTAACTCGGTGGTAGAAGAGCCTGCAAGCTCTTCTTGTTCCTCCACGGCAATAGACGCCTGGAAATCCCACTCCTCTTCGCTATCATTTTTCTTAGATGCTACAACATTTCCTTCAACTCCTTTGACTCGACAATCTCTGGCAAAATGGCCAACTTTACCGCAGATGTAACATCGTTCGTTACGTCTTTTGTTGCTTTTATCTCCATTGCCATCTTTGTTGCGATTTTGAAAAACTCCCCCCTGGCCGAAGGCTACACCCTTCTGGTCGCTTTTGCCAGTCTTCATGACTTTTCTTCTGTTTGCCATCTCTACTACCTGCACCAATTCTCCTTTGACCCATGAACCCTCTTTTATTACTAAAGAGGGCATTTTCATCTTCCTTAACCGAGACTTTAGACATTTGTCTATCTAAAGTCTCTTGATTGGCCAATATATTCTCTAACTCGGTTAGAGTTGGCTCAGTTGCCATCCACGGGTGGCCGTAGCAATACTATTGTACTCCGGCCTTAACCCGTGAATGATGATTCTTCTAATTCTTGTCTCTGAAATGGCATTCTCAGGATCCAGATTTGAAATTTCATCACAAACAGATTTAATTTTGGAGAAATATTGACTCATCGTCATATTTTGTTGTGACACCGACATCAACTCATTTTTCAACCTTTGCAACTTGGCGTCGTTCGACCTCGCAAATAGCGCTACCAAGTTATCCCATGCCTCCTTTGGAGTCCTCGCGCTCTTTATGTGTTGCATTAATTCATCTTCAACAGTCGCAGAAAGAGCATAAAGAGTTTTACCCACTTTGATGTTCCATCTCCTTAACTCGCCATCGTTCGTGGGTGGTGTGGTGTTGCCCCCGCCAACGATATCCCACAAATCTTGTCCCATCAAGTAAAATTGCATGCGAGAACTCCAATTATTATAATTAGAGTTGTTGAGCTTCTTGACCCCGTTCATCGAACTTGAAATATCCGCCATCGAACTTGGATATAATGCCCGGCACTACACCAATTCAACTTGGTCCTAGACCAATGAATCATAGTCCCTATCTTTGCAATGACAGAATTTCGGCATTCTCCGGATCCTGACCGGTTGCTCATGTACAATGGTCCCCAGCTCCTGGGCTTTGATACCACTTATTGAGCTTTAGAGGCGTAACACTTGAAAGTGAAAGCCTCAATCGTCGGTAACTATTGTCGGCAACTCTCGAACGTAAACGACTTTAATTGGTAACTCTCAAGTCAAAAGCAGCAAATAGCAATATGAAGCACAAGCAATTTTTTCTTTTTTAATTGAAGAGGGTGTCCGTAACTCTCCGAGTACTTCACTAATTTTGATTGAACGTAACTATCTCCATATCCCACAACACCCGAGTATTGCAAAGACATGGGTCAACGTTCTCGAGGGTGTTCGAAGAGAATGCACAAGTGTCAAAAGCTAGAGCAATTTTTGTCTGCACAACAATCTTGTCATTTGGTATAAAGCAATTTATTTAGGACACAAATTGTAAATGAGTATAGCAGACCACGAACGTAATAGTAACAAGTGCGGCTCCTTGCGGGTGCAAAAGCAGCTGGAGATTCACACAAACTCTATCTTTAGGCTCTATCGGGTGACTTACACGTGGCGTCATGATCATTGTCCTTTCATCTGCATCATGAATTCCGGACCCAAAACGTTGCAGCAAAAGAAGCCAACAAACATCCATAAGCCGAAGTGTCAGGGAAACTAGAACAGAAGAGGCTCTCCTCCACAAGACACGCACACTGAGTTTGTAAACCACAGGACCCTCTAACAATCCTCACTTGAAGGTCAACCATGAAAAGTAGGAATGCCAAAATACTTGGTCCTCCCAACCCCATTCTCTCTCTCTCTCTCTCTCTCTCTCTATCTACCCATGCTTTTTTTCACTTTTGATGTTCTTCTTTTGGGTCTTCTGAGAAACTAGAAAAAGTGTTAAACAGGTGAAGGAATGAATCAATGTGATAATAAAGAGGGTGTGTCAAGAATGATTGACCAACTCTTGGAAATGGGAAACAAAACAGTCGTGTGCCAGCAAAGATACCAAGACAGAGGGAAGAGCATATGGCTCCATGAAAACCCCCTGAATCTCCCAACCCCGCTCCTCATGTTTCAGCTCATTCTCATCTTCTTCGTTACCCGACTCGTCCATCTCGCCCTCAAGCCGCTCGGTCAAATCACCATCGTATCGCAGCTCCTCGTAGGGTTCCCATTTCTTTCATCTATCTTCAATGTCCGTTCAATGTAATTGTTCGATGGATTGATGATGCCTCACCCTGCGACTACTGAGAACAGAGTTATGAACAATGTGTGTTAGAAACTTTAACAGCTTGATGCTCACGTATCTGCCAAAACATTGACAGGGAGGAATTCTGCTGGGACCCTCGGTTTTAGGCCAGAACAAGGCTCTGGCGTCGAGCATTTTCCCCGCGAGGAGTGAGACGATCATCGAGACGTTCACGATGTTTGGCGTCATGTTCTTCCTCTTCTGTCTCGGGGTGAAGATGGACCCTGCCTCGATGCTGCGGCCAGGGCGCAAGGCGCTTTTGATCGGCTCCTCCATGTTGCTCTTGTCGTTGGTCGTCCTGCTCATCCTGTCAACGGTCCTGCAACGCCACTTCACCCTGGACTCGAGCCTCACAAAGGCATTGCCGTACGTCGCGGGTGTGCAAGCCCTGACTGGCTTTCCGGTCATCTCCTCCCTGCTCATCGAGCTTAGGATCCACAACACTGACCTGGGCAGGCTCGCCATCTCCTCGTCCATGGTCTGTGACCTGATTGGGATGGGATTGGCGGCCATAGGGACGGGGATGGCGGAGAATGACGGTCACGTGGCGATGTCGGGGTTAGCTATCGCAGCGGCAGTTGCAGTTCTGCTGGTTATTGTTTTCGTATTTAAGCCGCTGATATTACGGTTGATACACAATACTCAACCCGGGAAAACCATCGACGAGGGTACATTGATGTGTGTCATATTGCTTGTTCTCGTGACGGGGTTCATGGCCGAAACGGTGGGCCAACACTATCTCGGTCCCCTATTTCTGGGCTTGATGGTTCCGGATGGACCGCCGCTGGGCACGGCCATCGAATCAAGAATAGAACTTTTCGCGTCCAGCTTGCTCTACCCTGCCTTTGTGTCCGTGTCGGGTTTACGCACTGACGTGTTCCAAATTCACAACGAGTCCCTCTGGATCCTGGCTGTTCTGGTCGTCGTCTCCTTCCTCGTCAAATTCGGAGTGGTAGTATCGGCCGCACTCTACAGCAAGATTCCCTTTCGAGAAGCTTTCGTTCTCGGTCTCATCTTGAACGGAAAAGGCGTAATCGAGCTCGTGCTCTACAACGTCTGGCGAAATGGCCAGGTAAGGGACAATCATCTACTCGTCCTGGTGATCTCTCATATTTGCGCATACAACAGTTAATTTCTCCACCTTACATAGTTCTAGAAGATGTCAGATTCGAGCAGCCGATAGATGAACGAACATGTGGTTATGTAATGTCAATTGCTTTGCCATGATGTTGAGATAATTTGGGAAACTTGTGTATGACAGGTCGTAACGAATGAACTGTTTTCCCTGTGTATAATATCAACTATACTGGTGACGGGAATCACAACCCCGCTTGTGAAAGTCCTCTATGATCCTTCAAGGCAATTCATATCGGTCAAAAGATCTTCGATCCAGCATAACAAGCCCAATTCCGAGCTCCGGATTCTCGTCTGTGTCGACAGTCACGACAGCGTCCCGACAATCATAAACCTCCTAGAGGTATCCCATGCTTCGGAAGAGAGCCCGATCGCAATCATGGCAATGGTGTTGGTCGAGCTCATTGGCCGAACCACTGCCATGCTCGTGTGCCACAAGGATCGAGTCATCGACTCTAGTTCAATCACGTCCGGGCACATAATTAATGCTTTCAGGAACTACGAGCACCACAACGAAGGGCGTGTCACGGTGCAGACGTTCACTGCCATATCTGATTTCGATACCATGCATGTCGATATATGCCAGGTGGCCCTCGACGAGAGAGCGAGCATCGTGATCGTCCCGTTTCACAAGCAGTGGGCGGTCGATGGCCAAGTAGGCAAGGTAAACCGAGCTGTCCAGACCATGAATCTACATGTCCTAGAGCAAGCGCCGTGCTCGGTCGGGATCCTCATAGACAGGGGAATCGTGAGGGGCACGCTCACAATCCTGACGAGCGAATCCACGTTCCATGTCGCGGTCCTCTTCATCGGCGGCCCGGACGATGCGGAATCCCTGGCCTACGGTTCCCGGATGGCAAAACACGAGAACGTCATCGTGACGGTCATTCGCTTCCTTCTCTTCGGGAGCGAGAACACGAAAGACCGGAGGATCGACACGGAGCTGATCTACGAGTACAGGCATTCCAACGTGGGGAACGAGAGATTCGTCTACATGGAAGAGGTGGTGAGAGACGGGGTGGGCCTAGCTTCGTTCATCGGAAAGATGGTGGACCGTTATGATCTGATACTGATCGGGAGGCAACACCAGGCCTCCCCGATCTTCACGGGGCTCGAACAGTGGAGCGAGTGCCCCGAGCTCGGCGTCATCCCCGACATGCTCGCTTCGCCAGACTTTGAGAGCACGGCCTCGGTCCTGGTGATTCAGCAACAAAGGATAGGAGGCACTTTGATGGCCGGTCACGCCATACAATCTGCGATCCATCCTAGGGATCAGGCATACGCACCCACAACCGTCCCTCAGGATGAAGCAGGGAGAGCTTCCTGGAGCATCTCCATAGATAAGCGAGGCAGGACTTGAGGAGGAAAGTCTCTATTTACATTGCCCCCTTTGCCAAACAGATTTTTGCTTCTCTAGTTTGAATGTTCCTGTTTCCTTAGTCCTAGTCTTCGACTGACTGTTCCAATGCAAAGATGGGTCAGTCACGTTGTTGTAATAATTTAGCCAGCTTAATGCAAACAGAACGACCAATTCCACTTCAAACCCTGCAACTAGGGGTGTCAATGGGTCGGGTCGGGTCGGGCTTTCATAATACCCGACCCGACCCAAAACCAACAGGTCGGCTATGACCCGACCCGACCCGACCCAAAACCCTATTTGGCCTTTACCCCAAGAGACGGGTCTGGTCGGGTCAGTCCGGATCGGGTTTCGGGTTTTCTTTTTATTTTTTTCCTTTTTTTTTTCAATAGATTGCCATTTGAGATAGGTGTCAACCTCAAATACGAATAGTCATGGAATCCCTCGAAATGTTATTGGTGTGTTTATAGCAATTCCAAGCGTTCTTTCTCACGTGTAATAACATAAAATATATTCAACAGCATTTCTCAATGTCTCATCCTGAATAGGGCAGGAAATGGTTAGAAACTGCTACTTTCCTTGGACAGAAACAAGCAAATATGCTCTACAATGAGATACAGGCTCAGTAATTCCCAAGATGGAGTTACCAACGATTCAGTCTAGGCAAACACAGAACTCAAGAAGCCAGCCAAACCTAGATCAAAACAACCAACAAAATCAGCCCTGAATCAGATCAAACAACAAAATCAAGCTAAAGCAACGAAAGCCAAGAACAACTCTTAGACTCGAAACTAGAATTGTCTTTTCCCGATCCCTCATGATACGAGAAAGTTCAATTGTACTAAACTAATCAAGACCGAACCTTTTCCACTAGCACTTGTAAACCCATCAGTCACAATCACATAGCTAGCCCCAGCATTATATACCACATCACGCACACTTTCCTTCTTGCCCCCTCGCTAGCTCATGCCTAAAATGTATCAGAGAAGGTCTTGCCCACACGAAAACCATCAGTGTCACACAGCAACTTGTCGTCCCGCCGGCACAGTAAGACAATCGGAATTCAGAAAGAAACACCAGACAGATTCTCTCTGCCCATAAGACAGAATTCCAAACAACCCCAGATGTTCCCAATACGCAGTGAAATTTGAGCAGCTTGTGCTCGGTGCAAGGGGGACAAAACCACGACCCTTTAGGCACAGACACGAGGACCGGTTGGAGGCAGAACAGGTGCAGAGAAGTAACTCGTCGCGAGAATCTCCCGACCCACGGTCCTCGCAATGCACGTCGCCGTAGCAGCTGTCGCCACCGGGAAGACGGCCACTGTTATCCGTGTCGCGGTCCTCGAACAGGGATCGAGAGAGCGGCTTCGGCGCTCAGATCCTGCGACCCAGCAGCGTCTTGGTCTTCGTCGTCGAAGGAGAGAGAGAGAGGCGGCCGTGCAGTACAGTGTACTATTTATATCTAGTGGTATGTGTCTAGCTAGAGCTTTTTTAAGTCACGGGCTGGGCTGTCAAAAAAAGCCCGGCCCGGACCGGCCCGGCCCTAAACAGGGATGATATTCGAAAATTAAATGTCTTACCCGAACCAAAGGAGACCCGACCTGAAGAAGCCCTAAATTTCCGGGTCGGTCCTGGTCGGTCCGGGCCGGGTCGGGCCGGCCCGGGCTTTTTTGACAGCCCTACCTGCAACGACCAACAATCGCGTGATGCTCAGCGATGGAATTAGCTAAGGAGGGAATGATTTAATCAGGTCAATGCGGTATTGCTTGCTTAGGCGAGTAGATAACACTTAATTTCGATATGAAATTCAGACTTAAAATTTATCTAGATTGATTTTTTTTTAGATGCTTTATTTCGGAGAATGATCGGTCGAAACTTGTCAAATTCCCTTCTTCGTCGTTGTCGTCATCATCTTTACTATCTAATGAAAAATTTTAACATTCTGTCAAATTTTATTAACCGCCTTTCATTCTTAAATTAATTTTTCCCATGATTTCGAACTACTCGAATCTCACTATCACCATTTTTCTTTTCATACGAAGCAAGATTCCGGAGCTACTCTTAACAATCTGTCTCCTCTAATCTTATTTACATTGATTTAGAACCTCTACCATCTCTGATCCGGTAAAATCTTTCTACGTGTTTTAAATCGAAATTCTAAATCGTTTCATATATTTGTTTGGATATTTTATCACATATTGATAATTGACATTTGAAAAAAAATCTCAATTACTTTTTTTATTTTCCATATTTGTGCATATATAAATGAACAAACTATTTTCGTTTTTTTGGCAAGCATTGCACCGGGGGCTGTGCTGAGGACAGTTCACGCAGAGGGAATGCGCAACGTGCATAAAGCTGAAGAGCTAATGAAACCGACACGTGTAGCTTCTTTGCTTCTTGTACAAGGGATTAACTTCAAGTTGCAAGCCATCGATTAAGGTCCAAAAACAGAAAAATTTAAATAGAAAAAGAAAGAGAAAAAAGAGCATCGACACAGAATGGCGAGTTCACGCATTTATAATCTCAGCTCTGTAAAAAGGACGTGGCTCCGATGCGAAATGACGCGGTTACCCTCGACGGGGAACGATCCCCGGAGATCTGTCCGATGTGACCGCCTCCCGATCCTCCCGCCCTCGCCAAATCCCCAAAACGCCCCTTCTCGCGAAGGACGGGCCCCGCGTTCGGGAGAGCCGGCCCCTCCCCCCCCCCCCCCCGGGGAATCGCCACGCGTCCGCCTCGGCGGCGCCCCGCGGAAACGCAAGGAGAAGGCACAAGGGCAAGGACGGGGGGGCAAAAGGGTAAAATCACGCGCGCCACGACGCCTCATGCAAATCGCGGGGCTCGTTGCGCGCCTCGTTTGCTTTTCCGCTTCCGCCACCATTTTTGGCAACAGCTCTCTCTCTCTCTCTCTCCCTCTCTTTCTCTCTCTCTCTCTCTCTGCTTTATCTCTCTGCTTTTTCTCCTATAAGAGTGCCCGTTCGGGCTTCAGTGCAGCAAGCTCGCCGGCTTTCCATTCGCCGTCGCTCGTCGAGCTCCGGGCTTCTTCCGGCGCCGCTTTCTCCTTCTCGGCTCTCGCTCTCGGCGTCGTGCGACTCGCCGCGAAAACGAACGCCGCTGATCGGCGATTCTCTCCAGGTACTTCCTGGTTAAGGTTTGCTCCTCTTTCTCTCGGTTTTGGCATCTAGCGAAGTCGGAGCGAATCTAGGTTGATGTTTTCGCCGATGTTCATGCCGTCTCGGCTCGGTTTCTTTTTTTTGGATGGAACGATCGTCTCGAGCGGTTTTTGGTGCGTTGCCTTTCGAGCTACGTGTGCCGGAGGCGAAGGATCTTTCCCTTAAGGTGTTTGCTCGTCGTCGTTTCTGAGGTTTTTGGAGTCATTTTTTGGATGTGTGCGATCCGCTTAGGTTTTTGTCAGTTCTCTATCTGCGGCATGCGGTTCTTCGTTTCTTTTCTTTCTTTATTTTTGTGTCCTCAAACAAGACGATGTTCCGCTGAGTATCAGCTTCAGTTTGTTGCGAAACATTCTTGCGAATCTGTTTCGCGTTTTTCGTCGAGGTCGTCTAATCCGAAGGCTAAGCGGTTCCCGATTCTTCCGCCGTGCTGGAAACTGCCGCAAATCGCCTGCATTTTGATGCGTTTGTTTTGGAGAGTGTGTCGGGGGAAGTTGAAGAAGATTTTTTGTCCTTTTAAAAGGCGTGAGAAAGTATTTCCTTTTTCTCGGTGTTCCTCTTCTTCAACTTCATCGCTAGCAAAATTGTACAGGTGCGTGCGTGCGTGCGTGTGCAGAATGGAAAAGATTTTTGCTGTGAAAAGGGAGAATAATCGAAGATTTTGAGTTCTCTTGGAATAAACTCTAATAAATATGGGAGATAAAAGTGGATTCCACGTGGAAGACTCGAACGAAAACATATGGGAGAAAAAAAAATGTAGTTATGTTGTTGTATCAAAATCGTGTTTTTCGTTTGGAAATGACAAGTTTTGTGGATTTTGTAGATATATACTATCATTAATTGTCTTATATGTTTGGGGCAGATCTTCATTGGGATTTTGTCGTACGAGTTTGAGGTTTGAGAGGTTCCATTGAATTTGTTTTATATATATAATTTGATTATCGGGCGAAGGAACTGGTGAGGAAAGAGAACATATTTCTATCCAATTGCTATTATGGTCTTTAAGTGAGCCTTTTATGCGAAAAATCGAGTCCTATGAAGGGCAACGGATGTCACATGTTGAAAAGTGATAAAAGAATATCACCATTTACGTTTGTAATATGAAAGAAAGATGGAGACTATTTTGGTGAAATACTGATAAGGAAAGTGGAAAACATATTTGGGTCGGACGCCAATAGAATAAAGAGAATATTTTTGTACTATTCTCAAACTTCTCAATGTAATCTGGGAGGCCAAGTGTGTAAGAAATACTTATGGACAATCCATATTTGTTCTGTGAATCGATTCATATATATGGTTTTGTGACTTTTGACTGATTGGACTTGTATGTTCTGATGCATTTTATTGAATTTCTTGTTCATTGATGTAGTGACTGCAGCACTTAAGGAAAATCTAAGTCACTATTGGTATTACCCAAGACGAATGATTCACGTAGTTGTTATTTGCATGAAATTCTAATACTTGTTGTGGCATTCCTACCGAGTGCTTATGTTCATACTCATTGGAGATATGTTCATTGGTTATAATATTTCGACAATGTGAAAAAGCATTTAGATATTACATTTTGATGTAACGTGTTAAACTTGCTCGATAAAATAACAACGGTCTTACAATCGTTACGTGGTATAGAAAACAATACATGTGGAAACTAAGTTTTAGGCCATGGCCTTGAACTCGTTTCGCACAAAGTATTACATGGTAGGAACATCATAAAGAATTTATTGGGTTCACCTTTAAAAATCTACTTGCTTTGTGTTTCTGAGGTATAAGTGAGGAGTTTGTAACGATCTTAAGTCCCATATGGACTAAAAGAGAGCTTGTGAAGTGATATCTATGTCATTATTCACCCCAAATATTACTATCCGAATTTTCTCCAAGCAAAAAGTCCCGTGTTCACTTATCACCTTACTTATCACAATTGTGATAAGTTTTCATACTTCAATGTTAGACCAAATATCAATCATGGAGCATTTGAGTATTAAATCTGCGATCATGTAATATATTTATAGCT